ACATGTCACAATGCATAAGAGAAACGCCTAAGCACACGGTAATTTTTTCAAGTTACTCATTCTACAATGTTTTTATAAACAACTCTTGTCACTAAGTGTAACATTTTACGTATCTTGAGTTGATACAAGCAAAGCTTCCTCTCTGTGTTCTCTGTTTCTTTTACACTGTTACAAAGTTCATGTCATCCCAACCTAATCATTTCTTTGTATTGATTCCTACCATGTACATGGTATATTAAATCATTTCCCTGCTTCATAGAGATGAACAAATGGCAGGGAAATGGATTCTCTGCAGCCGTTTGCAGCTAAAACCTGGCTATTGCAAAAGCTGGAAAGAGGAGCATTCATTTCCTGTCATGCAGGAGATCTTACAGTACTTTCAATAGATGAAAAAGTGGCATGTAGATGCCAGCTTCAAATGAATTCATATATGATTATTTGCTCTGCTTTTGTTGAAGCCTGTGTACAATTGCGAGAAAGCTGTACACATTTCCTACAAGTTTAAAAAATCAGGGGAAGGAAAGAATGGGTACCACATTGGGTACCTCTTCTCCAGTGCCATCGGAATTGCCTGCGTGTGTGGAAAGACCTGCTTTAAGTAGCGTATGGCTAACTGCCTGGAACGCTCCACATCGCAACATTCTGCTGTTCCAATTGTCTCCTCTTGTGTCTTCTTATTTTGAGATGGGGGAGAAAATGGTCCACATTTTGAAGTGCTCTGAAATAAACTAATTTGCACCTCCTAGGACCTAGACTGATACATGGATTGGAACACAGTTACTGTTCACATTGCACACTTTAATTTTGCAATGCATTTCTTAGTTCAAGTCTTGTATACAAAAATGCAGCTATTAAGGGGGGGTTGCATATAAAATGCATATATTAGGAAACTTGCATATGAAAATGAATGTAAACTTCTGTGCAGGGTGTAAATTTATTAAAAATTGAAGATTGATGTGGAAATTGGTCAGAATGGACTTATGACTGAATGCACCCCCCTGAAGAAAATTAGTAAATATCCTTGCTCAGCACAAAGTTACTTGATGTACAGGTATTATTATTATTAATAATAATAATAATAATAATAATAATAGCACAAATAATCATCATCAGTCAGTCCATGTTTAGGATTTTGGATCATGGTAAAAAATGGTTGAACCCCAGGGAAGATTTATACATGGTTAATATGGGCAAGAATATAAGATGATCTCAAATTATATGTCTCTTAAGGAAGTGGTCAAGCTGCAGTTCTAGAACAAGGGCTGTGTCCCACAGCACATCAGGCCTACTGTTTCTGGTTCTTTTTTCTTTTTTCCATGTCTTTTGTTCTGTTGGTTCTTTTCCTGGGCTTCCCAACACTCTAGCTGATATTGTATATGCTGATACTGTAGTGTATTTAGTAAATGGGTGTGAGAAAAATGCCAATCTACTAAAATAACAGAAGCAGCCCAAGATAGTCAGCCTACTCGAGCCTTTCCTGCATCCTGATGGAGCATCGGCACCTGCAAAATCACCACTGCTACCTGTTTCTTGTTGATACACTGGTGCGCTGGGCACCTGCTTTGTCGCATGGCTTCATTCTGCTGGAACAGATGCTGCTTACTTGGCAGAATTCACCCTGCTTGTTTCTCTGGCTTTTGAAACAGAAGATCTTAATGGGATCTGAGGTGGTGATGACTGACCGAGGAGGAGACGGGATTGTGGTAGACAGCTTGATAAAAATGTCAACTCAGCATGCAGCTGCTGAGTTCAGTGCAAATTCCCTGTTAGGCAGAATGAGGAAAGGAACTGCGAATAAAACTGCCAATATCACAACACCCTTCTAGAAATCTATGGTGCAACTGCACATAGAATATTGTGTACAGTTCTGGGCAGGGCTTTTTTTGTCATTGAATGCACCGGAACAGCATTCCGGCACCTTTTTTTCCAATGGATTTTACGAAGTGATTTTGAATCGTAGCAGATCAGCAGCAAACATCATTACCATAGTGCCTGCTGGCTGCTTTTGTGTCTGCTCTCTGATAGTGAGATAGTGAGGGCGCTGCTCTCGGCTTGGGACGCTCCGCTGTGTGTGCGGTCACGCGCTTCCTGCCGCACCGACACCGTTTTTATTTTTTTTACAAAAAAAGCACTGGTTCTGGGCACTGTGCTCAAAAAAGGAGATTGTGGAATTGGAGAAAGGACAGAAAAGGAAACTAAAATTATCAAAGGGTTGGAGCAACTCCTCTATTAAAAATGGGTTACAATAGGTAGGAGAAAAGAGAAGTGAGGGGGGAATGATAGAATTAGGCAAGGCATGAAGAAAGTGAATAGAGAGTGATTTCTTTCTCCCAGGAAGCTGATCGGAGGGAGATTCATGACAGATAAAGGAAGGACTCTTTCACACAGCACATAGTAAAAAATATGGAATTTACTTCCACAAGATGTATTGATGGCCACCAATTTGGTCAGCTTTAAAATGGGACTAGACATTGGAGGAGGAGGCTATTGCTGGTTACTAATCCTGATGACTATATGCTCTCTCCAGCAGCAGAAACAGCAAACCAATGTACACCAGTTGCTGTGGAACCTGGGATGGGAGGATGCTGTTGTAGACACCTCCTGTTGCGGGATCTTGTGGGCAACTGGATGGCCACTGTGTGAACAGAAGGCTGGCCTAGGTGGACCCTTGCATTGTTCTGCTCTTCTCCACTGAAAAGCAAACCTGGAACAGAATCTGATACAGGCATAAGGAATTAGCAAAATCAGTTTGTTATTCAGCATGCAGGAAAGCAGGACTTGTTTCAGTATCTGACTTGACCTGTACCACGAGGCATGCAAAACACGGCACAGCTCCACCTCGTAGATTCAGGGTGAGCTCACATGAGTGAACAGAGCAGGGGTAATCCTTTTTCCGGCTCTCCACTTCTTTGCTACAACTCCTTTACAGCACTATGGCAATGGAACCCATGACCTGGGGAGGTGGTGGGCTCTCCCACAGTGAAATCATTCAAGAGGCAGTTGGACAGCCATCTATCAAGGATGGAGTCATGCAATGAGGAGGGGGCTGCACTCAAAGCTCTGACAGCCCCCTTCCAGTTCTACTCTTCTATGCTTCCATTCTACACTTAACCCTGCATGGAATTCCTGTTGTTGCTACAATTAAAGTGCAATCCTGTCCCAATTTAGACAGTTCACTTCATTCCCCAGCAACCATGGGAGCGCTGGAATCTGTAGGACTTTTTTTTCCTATCTAAGCATGCATGGGATGGCCTCCCTAGGCATTTAAGCCCCTGGATGTCTCTTCGAGGTGCAGTTGAAAGGGCTGACTAAACATGAACATTTGGAACTAGCTAGGTTCCACCACACAATTGTGGTTCATTTCAGTCCTACTGGAGCACACAGCTCAAGCTTCATGGGCCAGGCTTCAGCCCTGTCATGTTTTGCATGTTTATTGAAAATGTCTCTGTTTACTTTGGTTTTTCTCCAACAATGCACTATCTTTGAAACTACCTGTAATACAGACTTTGCCAAGCTAGTGTTCAACACATCTGGAAGCGGACTGGTTGGGAAAGACTGTTTTAATGTAATACTATGCTATACCTTTTATATCCTTTGATCCTTTTCTGTTTCACATTTCTTTAGTACTTTTTACCAGTGAGAACTGCATATAAATGTTAATTTAATTAAAGTAATAAGAACAAGAAGTTATGCAGACATGCTTTAGTAATAGCTCTTGAAATGAGAAGACTGGTGCTTTTTCCTGTAGTATGTGTAGGATACTTACTTTCATCTTTCCTTTCCCTTTCTATGAATCTGTGATTTTGGATGCACATAAATAAGCATTATACATTGAACACCTTTCCAGTTCATGGCTATTTCTGTGCAAAAATTATCACACGCTTTCAGATCTTTCCATTTCTCTGTTTTGTCTTGTATGCTTGGCTCAAGTCTTAGCACAGCGGTTGAAGAAACACCCCTTTAGAAAAAAAAATAAAAATCTTGAATTTCCTGCCTCAGTGCATTTTCTGAAATCCAAGACATGTCATTCTCCCATATCCCTATACCATGCTTTTGTCATTGTGTTTGGCTTTGAATTTCTATGAAGACAATTATTGGACCAAGGTATTGCCAGATATGGGTACAAAGGCATTGGTTTTGGGTTTTGGACGGGGGTGTACAGTGCACTCACATGGACCTTCATTTCAGTATAACACAGAAATAGTTGAGGGAGAATGGCAAATCAGGATCCAAAGAAATATTTTTCAAAGAAGAGACAGAAGAAAGTACAAGGGGTGGTTAAAGGGATTGGAATGGGCAGGAAGCAGTGGATAGACTAGTTCTTCAAAAGGGGTTAATGGAGAGATTATTCATTCTAAAATAAAAGAATGGGATCCTTGTCTTTCATTTCCACAAACCTAATTCTCAGAAACAGCACCTGGAATCTCCCAAATGTCTAGTTCCCTTTCTTTTGGGAGAGCGCCACACTGTTTCTCACAAAGAGAATCCTCCCTTTGCTTAGTCACCTTTCCCACAACTTGCCAGTTTTCAAAAGGTCCCTGTTTTCAAATGTTAAGGAACTGGCTACACCAAACTTAGAGTAATCCACTTGATCCAGCAAAGGGCTATAATCAGAAAGTTACATTTTTTAAACCTTGTTCTAAAACAAGAAGTGACATAGCATAAAAGGTATTTGCAAATGTAAAGCACTGTACAACTGAGGGCAACTGATTAGTAGTATTTGTATTCTAGCCTTGTCACCCTCTGATTTAGGGAGCACTTTTGTGTCACGAAAGTGTAGAGTCAACCAATGACAATACCATGAACTTTCACAGCCCAAATCACTCCTGCAAGCTGATAGGCCAAAGCTCACACTTGGCAAAGAGAACGACACGGACACACTGTGCTTGTTTAGGCATTGCAGTTTACAATCAGTCCATTAAAAATGCAGGCAGCTATGATTAATAGTGCATCTTTCCTGTTGTGATGGAGAATTGCTGTTTTCTTGTTTGTACATGTAGTGGATGCAAGAGTGAGTGTTGTCCAGGATAATGTGGCCGTTTCTTCCCAGAAGACAATGGAGATAAGCTCCGTCTCTGAGGCCACTGGAAATAATCTTGGGAATGAGGCCAAGACTGCCCCGCCAGCTGCCAAATCCCGTTTTGCTTTTGCATTTTCACGGCCTGTACCAGGACGTACCGGAGAGCAGGCGACAAATTCATCTGTTGAATCAGCTACGCTTGATGTCAGCTCAGAAGCACCCCAAGCAAACAAAGCGTCGACTGAGAGGGTGGGCCTTCCTGCCACAGCTGTGCCAGAAGACGCTCAGGATAAAAACCTAAGCCAAGTCCCTCTCACTGAAATTGAACTCACAGCACCAGCCAAGGCAGAGGATGCCACTTTGCCCAAACCCAAAGAGCTAACCCTTTTTGACCGACTCTTCAGAGTGGAGAAGGGGAAAGATAAGAGCAAAGCACAAGAACAAAGTCAAGTGGAGGAGCAGGTGGAGCAGCCTGTGATAGTTGTCACAGCAGAAGACACTGCGGGATTACAAAGCACCCCGGATCATGTCCTGCAGAGAAAGGCAAGTATATGAGCAATTTTGTTCCTCATTGCATCTGGAAAAGGTTTTCATAGCACAGGATTTCTGTCACCTGAGACACAGAAGTTGTACATCTTAAAGCCTGCGGAAGCACAGTCCTCTGTGGATCAGAAATAAAGCTCATGATGGCTTCGGTCTTTCCTGAAGCCAAATCTGGCCCACAGAACAACACTGCTTCTCCCAGTGACCTTGCTGAATTTTAATCCTACAGGAAAAATCTTTTCCTCAGCTGCACTCATGAGGAAAAGGAAACAATTTCCAATTCTATAAAAGACTGAGATAGTTTGCAGATTGGGCAACTAGGTGTCCTATTATAAAGGGGGCGGTTGTCCATTTGAAGGTAGTCTTCTGTCTGAAGGCCTCTCTGGTCCAAGTACAGTTTTTAAAGATAAAGTACTATAAGAAAAGCAGCTGAAATTGCCCATCAACAGTTGTTGCTCAGTCTGGTCAGGCTTCCCTGCTCTGTACTGCATTTCTATTTAAATATTAGTTATTATTTCTAAAATTGTGTTTGTTAGCATATGCAGGTGTTATGCAAATTTGGGTCCTCATTTTGGGGGGCGATGCATAAGCAGACATTGGTTTTTCTGATCAAGGTTCAGCCATCAAACAGTACTCCATGACTGTGGAGATAGTACTCTGTGTTGGGGTGTGTGTGTGTGTGTGCGCGCGCGCGCGTGTGCATGTGTGTGAGAGAGCGAGAGAGAAAGTAGAGAGGTGGGCAGGACTAAGTACATGGCAAAATAGGCTTTTCCAGACCTGTACATAAAGAATAGACTGAATATAGAAGTGGACCATCTCTGATCTGCAGTTCAAATTCAGTCATGTATTCTTCATAATGTTACATCATGTTCAGGTCATTCTCAGGACGAAGTTCCTGATGTTTTAATAGGCTTATGTGGGTTACAAAATGGCTTCTTTTTCATCTTTCCTATTGCATCCCACTTGTTGATTGTTATGCTGACTTCTGAGATCATCCTTAGAATTTGTGTTGTTGAACATAGTCTACTGTGACAGGTGCAAAGTTATGGTACAATTTCATTTCAAACCTAGTAAATTTTAAACTTAGCTTTTGAGCAACATTATATGAAAAAGAAAGAAACAGGATTTTTTCTCTTCAAATCTTCTTTAAAAATAAAGAACCATACAGTGGGAGAGCAGATGCCTTGAAATTGCCCATCAATTTTGAATTTTGCAATTAAGTAGTTAGACCAATCAGCCAACATATAAAATCAGGTGAAAGTAAGTATAAAACAGGTCTATATTGCTGAAATATGTGCATTAGCCAAAGTGCAAAGAAAGCTGTAACTATTCAGCTGAATGAGCATAAAATTGCATACAAATTTCCATGCATTTTTTAAATGCAGACTTTGGGACAAATCAGACTTAGGATTTCATAAATTCTCAGTGTTCAGACTGAACTGAATTTAAGACTGGGAAAATGAGAAAATGAGAGAAAACAGATCAAAACAGGGCCTATATGTAAACTGAGCTCTGAGCTCAGATTTCCTTGGTTCACATCTTGCCATGAATTCATTTCATAGCCGTAGGCAAGTACAGTCTCTGATCTCAGTTTTGCATAATTATGCAGATAATTACACTGAACTGCCCTACAGAGGGAGTGTTGAACCTCTTTCAGGCCAAAGACCAGATTCAATTTCAGAGGAGTTCTCATGTGGTAAACTACGCAGAGCGCTTGAGCTATGGGGAAAGTACAGAAATGAATCAATTGTAATGATAATGATATCAGTATCAATAATAATAACAATTAATAATAATAAACCACACTGAAGTGATAGGCATGGCTGAAGGCAAAGGAGGTAGGTCAAAAAAAACCTACAGATCTGGAGAGGTTGCACAGATGCCGTCAACCCTTCTCAAATCCAAGGCTGCTCAGGTTTCTCCCCACAACTGCTATTTACATCTTAAAAATGCATGTTACTTGAGCTCACACAATCCCTGCCACATGGACTCCATTAGGACACTCAAGCAACATTCACCATGTAACCTGAAAGGCAAGAATACGTACAGTGCTTTACCAGGGACAAGCACCATGAGATATGGCTGCTTCCTGGCAGATACACCTTCAGAAGTCTGAGTGCTCATCATGACACTCCCCTTGCTCATGGCACCCTCAGATGAGTAGCCAAACCTTCAGACAGCTATGGTTATCCATACCAACAAACAAATGTGAGCAGTTTTCATCTCTGCCAAGATCCTTTGCAAAGCCCCTCCAAGACAAGCCAGATCAAAATACATTGCCATGGTTAGAGCTCACAACCTTATGATGTTACAAAGAGAATTCATTCCACCTGAAACTACCGCAAGCATTGCAGCCAAGTTCTGAGGGACCTGGGGGTTCTGAGGGAAGCCTGGGAAGCAGGTTAGAGGATTAGATTAGGATTTGGGTTCTCACTCAGCCTTGGAGCAAACTGGGTGAATTTGGACCAGTCACTAACTCTCAGCCTAACCTACATCACAAGGTTATCATGAGTATAAAAATGGAGAGGTGGAGGAGGATTATGGAACCTGCCTCAGGTTCCTTGCAGAAAAAAAGTCAGAATATCCATAAAATAAAGGAATAATACCACCATTTCATTGTGGACAGGGTAAGAGGAGGGAGTTTTAAATTCATCCACACTGAGTGTAATGGGAGTGACTTTACTGTGCTAGCAAAACAGCTCAGGGCTATCAGGGAAAAGGGGCCTTTGGTCTCACAGGTCCACATATGCCATAACATATCCCACTGATGGGGAAACATCTATGAAGCTAAGGATTTCTATGGGTGTGCCTACTGGCAGGTATCTTCTTGACCGTCAGGGCATATGAAGGTTCCATGCTAAAGCACTTCAAATGGCAATAGGATTACATCCCAAAGTGCTAAGTAGGAGAACATGCTAAGCATTGTTTTTCTGACTTTGCAGTTCTAATGGCTCTCCTTTTACAAGACATGAATAGCCTCACAAACCCAGCAATTCCCAGCCATGTCTTCTCTTCAACCCAAGTGAAGTGAACATGACCTTTGATTCTGATTTGCACACATGTTCCAGTACAGCGGATTGGGTACTGTGCATGTGGTTTTTTAACTTATCAGGAATTCTTCCCCAGCCTTGTTTTGCTTTGGTTTTATCCTGAAAAACAAAGTGTCAATTCAGATTAAAAGGCTCCCAGGTTATAAGCAGCACACATTCTGCAAAACTGGTTTCTTCAGCCCAACAGATGGCAGACAGCCTAATTTCTGATTATATGGATGCTATATTTATACTGGAAGTCTAAATATTTGATATAATTGTAATTATGCAGCTTTGGCCTCAGGCCCCCACCACTCTTTGAGTGAGCCATGACTGATAGCTTCTGCAGGAGCTTAATCACATCAGAACTTTTCCCACATGACATTATGCCAACACACAACAAGAAGCATTGCTGAGAAGACGGGAGGGAGGGAGACGCCTCCATTTTGGATTTGAGTCCAGAGACTACACAAGCATTCTGTGTTTGGTTGAACCACGGCCTTATTTTTGAGCACCACAAAACTACATTCAGGAAGCTCCATAATTAAAACAAGGGCCGGATTCATGAAATGATGAAGCATTTACTATTCAAGCCAAGGTAAATGATGTGCCTGAAATGTTTCTCTGACTGAGCCATGCTCAATGCGAACAAAGAAAGCCTGGCAGGAAGACATTCTTTTTATTTAGGTTGACTCCCTACTGCCAATGGCTGAGCTGATACTGACATATATCCATTTTATGTTTCTGAAAAACATACCCAGAAATCATGGGACATTGCTGACTTTTTTCTTCTGCAATCTTTTTTTCTTTCTGTGGTATGGATTTTTCTTTCACTATGTATAATCTGTCTGGCTGGTCTGGATCTGGGGTGAAATCTTGATAATTGCCATTATATTATATTATATCGCATTATATTAGCATTTGTAACAGAAGCAGTGTTTGGGTGGCCCAGTCTTTCATTTGGACCCTCAGATCTCGAGGAGACCACCTGCCCTGTAGAACTTCCCATTGCCCAGAGGGGCCCTGATAGTCTCTCTTGAGTTGATCCCCCGGGGCCGCTGGCTTTTTGCCCTCCTGTGCTTCACCTTCTGCTGCCCCCCAACTCGTTTGCTCTTTCTCCCTGAAATCAAATGCTCTCCTCCTTAGGGTGTCCTTAGGAGGTACAGCCCTTTAAAGACACACAGAAAGACTTCAGAACATATGTAAATTAACATAAGCAAATTTGTGCTTTTTCCCTTTTAGCTAGCACCATCCTTGATTATAAACCACCTCTTGCTAAAATTCAGTTAATGCAGTATATGTTATTCAAACACACCCATACATATGAACTATAGGAGAAATAATGAACCAACCACCTCAGAATATCTTTCCTTGCAGCTGTTTACCGATACAGATGTTTATCCCCCTTCCCAACCTTCTCTTTCTGTGTCATTTCCCAAACACACTATTTCAAAATTCCGTAGTTTCAAGAATAAAACTAGGACATCTGTTCCATCTACATTTTGCAGATTGTCAGGTAGGATTTTGAAGATCCCGCAGAAATCGGCTTACTTCTATTTGTTGGACTTCTTTCTCATGCTCAGTCCTGGCTTAGGAAGTGCTGCTGGCTGAGACAAAGTCCTCAGATGCCACTGGAATGCTTTTTGCACAATCAGACAACCTTCCTTCGCAGCACATGCAGCAAAAACAAAGCCCTCGAGTCATGCACCATGTTTGCGCAGGCTCAGTTCCTGGCAGGCACCCATGTGAGCAAGCGGGACTCAGGGCTGCAAAAAATCAGCCAGAGTCTAGGGAGTCCCACCTCTAGAGCAGTTTCCTCACACATCCCTTCTGGCAGGTGACATGCCAAAAATTGGTGCTCAGGGTGACTAATACTGAAGTCCAAATTAAAAACAAAATCTTAACAAAAATATAACATAAAAACAGATACATTTAAAAAATACAATACAAACGATAATAAAAGAAATACACTTTATGCAATTAAGTGTACAAACCTATACTGGGATAATGCTGGGAATGGTAGATTTTTTTCTGTTTAAACATGCATTAATTTGTGCCTTAAAATGTCCATAGAATTGGGACTTTTCATTTAGAAATGGGACTTTGCTCCAGACATGGAACATGGACAGTGGCTTCTTGCTTGTCATGAGATCTCACTTGCCTTCCCTAACCTGGTGCCCTTGAGCTCCCATTTGCTCTTGCCAGTATGGCCAATAGTCAATAATTCTTGGAGCTTTCATTCCAACATTTGGTGGGCCCCAGGCTGGGAAAAGTGGGACCATCTTATCAGCACTGGGCACTGCTGCTTTCTCCTGGAAATAGGAAGTTTTCACAGCTTCTGAGCATAATTCTTCTAGAAACGTTATGTGTGTGTCTCAAATAAACTGAGTGAGGATAGTCAAACTCAGCTCCACACTAATCAGGTTCTAGGTTATGTATTAATCCAAAGTTAACCCATGAACCCAGATAATGTCATATACTATTGTTGGTTTGGAATCGTAATAACCCAAGAATAGGGGTGTTCCTGGATTGTTTCCAAAAGTGGAAGCAGACAAGTGGGTGAGAATCAGCACATTTGCTTGTTTGCAGTCACAAATATCCTCTGATTCATTAACCACAGCTTGCTTAATCACCCGAAACAAGTCACTGCCAAAAATTAGAAAACAAAAAAGAGAAGATGGCATTGGGTACATAAAATTGCCTAACATTTTCATATGCCCATTTATATTTATGGAAGAAGACACTGTCACTGAAATAGAAAAGTAGTCCATTCCACCAGTGTGGGGAGAACTGTGACCAGTTGACACAGATGCTAATAGTTGTTGGGAAACTTCAAGCCCTCTAAATTCCCCCCTTTGTACCTGTAAAGTGGAATTCATGGCCACCCTAGTCCTCTGCCTCACCTTTTTCACAGAAAGATCGTCACTACGATGAGCAAGGTTCCTGGGGCATGAATGCACATTTCCCCTTGTTTAGTAGCAGCTGGTCTTAATCCGGTGCTACATCGCTTATTGCTCAAGATTTCTAAACAACTTTTGGGACAATTCAGGCCACATGAGGAGTGTTACTTTGGCAAAGGGCAGCTTGCAAAAGGGTAGGCGGTGTCAGGGCAGATTAAGTTGGACATTTCCCTGCACTTTTGCAGATTTAAACAGATGCATTTAACCCTTGGGGTGACAGCCTGAAAATGAATCCTTTCTCCGTGAACCTTTCCTGGAGTTAAGACCTTTGTTGTACTGCGATTCATGCATGGAAGATTTGACACACATCAAGAATCTCTGTCCTCAGCCTACTGCTGTCCCACTCAAATGTATGATCCCTTCTCAATAATACGTAAAGCATTCTCTAGAAATTCTTTATAAGAAGGGAATGAAGGGATGGAAGGGGGCAACCGAGGGACAAAAAGGCTTGGCAATGTGGCAAAGCAATATTCGTTGCAGGCGGAGGGTGTTTTGTTTTTCTGAAGAAATAGCACATGAGTTCATAGTAGATTTGGTTTGTTTGTCTCATGCCAACCCAAAAGTTGGCTTTTCTGAAGAGGTCTTATAAGGCCAGGAAGGGAGTGGAGCAGGGACTCCAAACACAAACAAGAGAATAAACTGCAGATATTATGATCCAGCAGTGGCATGTAACCATTTCAGACAATACAGGCACTGTTAAGGAATTCAATGAGCAAAAGGACTGCTGACTTGGGGCCACAGTTAAGGCTACCTCATGTCGGCTGGTTCTTGAAAAAGCCAGGAAATGGGAAAAGAAGGCTGATGCTTTAACAGATGTGATGGTGAAGGCTGATGGTGTTGTGTGCTGCACATATAGAAATGGGGATTATCTATAATTTAAATAGAATTACAATACATCTCACCAGAGTAGGAGAAACTATGAGCTGTCAGCTGCCCAGGTGAAAACTGGGGATGGACAACTTCAAGGGCTCTGGTGCTCTCCCTTCTAGTGACTCTTCTTAAATTGGACTGGGACCAGATTTGGGAACTGGGATCCTTCCTTCTAGACAACTGGCAGTTCTTGGGCATAAAATCATTTTATTTCTAACAGACAGACAGCAGACTATTGGAAGTGTCTCTGATCATGAACACAGAGGTTTGTTGAACCCAAATTAGGAACTATTTCTGGAAACCTTCCTTTTCGGTAACCCTGGGCTCCACCCTCCTGGCGATGCCTCTCTGAAGCAGGGCTTGACTCCTGGATCTACCTAGGTCCTCTAGTTGGCCAGCCTTCTCCCCGTCCACCACGTCATGGTGTCAGGGATTGGACCAGGCTCTCTTTTTCCTCTCGCAGGTGCCCAACCTGCACTTCCAAAACCTGTCAGTTCCCAAGGTCTGCCTGAACACCTGGAGATGGTGGCCTTGGGATGATCCCTTCCTCCTCCACCATCTCTATGTCCACACACCTCACTTTGCAGCCTTTGCCATCCTCATCCAAAGGGTTGGTGCCACCCTGGCCTGGGATGTGCACCAAGAATAACTGCATCTTCCATTCCAAACAACAGAGGACACCTTCAAGAGAAAGGACTGCCTCTTGCAGCCCTTCAGAGAGAGGACTGTAAAGGAAGGCAAATGGCCACCCTATTTGAGAGGCAGCTTGTCAGTAGCAAGCACAACCATATCCATGTACTAAATGTCCCCACAGCCTTTCTTGACATGCCAGTAAATCATCATGGCAGAAGAACAATGTGTCTAAAGGGGTGCATTATAAGCTGAGCCGAGCATCCCCTTCATCATCTGTGAAATGCTGGAAGGTGTGAAATCAGTTAGAAACTGCTGGGCACTCAAGACAAAGGAAGAGAGAGAAGGGGGCAGGCGCATAACAGATGTCAAAACTGAACTTTGGACTGTGACATGACTGTGCAAAGACAGAGTGGAAGAAAAACACATGTCCTTGCTTCACCCATCAGTGGGTTTGGCACTGTTTGAAAGCGAGCTGGAAGAAACGCAGAAGCAGAGACTTGCATGCACTGGCATGCACACATATCTAGATGCCCTCTCTGGGCAGGAAGAGATTTGGCTTCCTCAAGGGAGGGGTGAGAGGAAACACATGAAAAGTTTTATAGGCAGCACAATCAGGTGGCAAATAGGGTCCCTAAAATGGTTGCAGGTTGATTTATTATTTATTAGATTTATACCCCTCCTTCCCTTCCCTTCCCTTCCCTTCCCTTCCCTTCCCTTCCCTTCCCTTCCCTTCCCTTCTTTTCTTTTCTTTTCTTTTCTTTTCTTTTCTTAACTCAGAGTGGCTCACATCTTTCTCCTCCCACTGCCCTCAATGTTATCCCCACAACAACAACCCTGTGAGGTAGGCTGGGCTGAGAGTCTGTGACTGGCCCAAAGTCACCCAGTTGGCTCCATGGCCGAGTGGTATGATCTTAACCACTGCGATGCACTGCCTCTCCTACATGACACTGTTACTGTTTCTGTGTTGGGCATCTGGTGAACTGGATTACTGTAAAAAGGAATGGTAGAGACAGAGAGGAGGGGTAGGCACTGGAGAAAAGGGATGGCCCTCCCCCTTTTCTTTCTGGTCCCACCCACTCTTGGGTTCAGCCCCATCCATTATCATCACGCAATGCACAACAAATTACCCATGAGGCCATACAGCCCAAGAGAGGGGAAAAATAGTTGTTCATCCCTGCAGTATGAAGAGATATTCTGAATGCAGGCTAACAGGGCTTCTCATTTCTCAAGGATTTAGCTAGATCTAAACCAAAACACAAGCAAACCCAATTCTCCAAAGCTGGACACAAACCATTTCCTTTAACCTCTTTCTGAAAATGGTAGCAAAGAGTGCACTAGGAGCTCCCTATGATCTATTGATGCTTTTAGCAAGGTCATGATAGTATCATCTTCTCATAAACTTGCATGAATTAGTTTCTATTTTATTTTCCTGGAAATTCTAGAAATGTGAGCCACAGGGGCTCTCTCTGTGTGGTGTGATCTGACACTAAGAATTCAGAGTTCAGAGCCTAAACTGTATATTCAGTACTCAGCTGCCTCGAACAGAAACATATTTGTTCTGTGTGCCACATGCAACCTGCCCTCTTGTATGTATTGTTCTTGGTGGTTCTGAGCAATGTTCCCCCAGCCAATGGCGATGCTGCATCTATTAGACATGGCTCGCATCAATGCCCCATTGTTCTGGATATGTAGGCTGGAGAAATATGGATGGAATTAGGATTGTGCCCGGGTTGGTGCAAGTGGCAAACAGATTACTTTCACCATCTTTTGCTGGACATTCAGCAAGAGAGGAACTGGAAAAAACCGTGCTCCCTTTTCATCCAGGACGTCATAGATGAGTGCAAGCAAAGTGCTCTGCAGCAGGACTCGGCAGGTGTCAATTCTCAGGCCTCTGAGAATCTCGCCCAAGAAGAGGTAAAGCCAGAGAGCGTTAAGACGGTGTCTGGGACTGACAATTCCGTCATGAGCTTCTTTAAAACACTGGTAAGACTTTGCATTAACTTCTTCCTCTGTAGAAGTGGCATCCACGGTAAACTAAGACTGCGGTCAAAACAACAAAGACTAGTCAAAGACTAGTGCATTATTCTGGCATAAGCTTTGTTGGTCTTTAAAGTGCCATACTTTGTTGTTTTCATTGCAACAGATGGCTGTTCTTCTGGAAATTGCTGTCCAAATGCTTTTTTGTGTGGTGCGGGGGGGGGGGTGAACACAATGGACGCTGAAAAGGTTTGAGGTCAATGTGAAATGATAAAAAGGGAAAATAGTGTGAGTCTGGGCATTGTTTTCCAAGGCAGGACACCACTTATAGGATTTGTTGTAAAAGAAGTTTTGAAATGCAAGTAAGTGCTAGAAGAAGGGATCTTACTTGTGTGCTAAAAGGGAGTGTCTTTTATTCATTAACCATAAAGGTCAGAACAAAAGCATCAATTACTTCTGTTTTTTCAACAGTAGCATTTCCAACGCTGCACAACTTTGCCATCGTTACAGAAGGAGAAGAAAAGCTATCAGACAAATGCAAGCTTCTTTATTTGGATATGCTGCCCACTGAGTTCAATGGCATTTACTCCCTTGTAAATATGGATGTTTGCACGTTAAAGCTGCAATCCTAAACGGATGTATTAGGGACTAAATCCCACTGATGATAGTGGAGCTCACTTCCGAGTAAACATGCATGGATGGCATTGTAAATCTAAATAAGACAGCAACATAAAATAAGAGGAGGTATTACCAAGGAAAGCAATCATTTCAGTGGAGCTTTGCAAGGCTTTCCAACATGTGTTTGGCTCTGTGTTTTAGCAACTTCTCCAGCAATATTTAGAACAGAATTTACTGATTTAGTCCACAGGCCATACAAAAGGAAACAAAATAAAATGCATTTAAATTCAGCATAAAAGTATGCACAATACTTTCATATTTGGTCTTTACTATAACAAAACTAAGAGTTAAGGTTTTTTTTAATTTAAAGCTATGATTCCACTTTAGAGTCATAGTGAAGGCTGCAATCCCAATATAAACACACACCCAGAAGTATTTCTGGGTTTATATCCAATTAGACATGCACGTCTAAGATTATGCTAATAGAAACCTATTCTGTCTAGTCTCTAAAAACTAAACTACAGCAGCCACCTTTGCGCATAGTGGGCATGCTTAGAAAAGAAGGTGCAGCCGTCCCGTCTCCTTTTTCCTTCCCCTCTCATCTGTCTTCTTCACCATGACAGGTGACTGTCCAATTTGTTCTTGAAGACGTTTTTATGACTTCCCTTGGTAGTCAATTCTAGGTCTGAATTGTTTTCACAGATTCTCTTCCTACCACTTACCTTGAATTCCTCTGTGTATTTTTAGGCTACTGACTCTTGCCCGGACTTTGTTTGTGTATTCTTAGTTTTAAACCTGAGGGTGTAAATGTTTTCTATTGGGCTTTAAGCCAAAACTGCTTTCACGGTTTGGTTTAGTGTTTAATATGGCACATTTTATGGATTGGTTTGTCTTCTTGAATTAAAAGGTTTCTCCAAGCAAGGCAGATTCCAAGGCCGATTCTGAGGATAAGGTGAGTGTTGGTTCCCAACAAAGAGGAATCCCTCTTTTTCCTTAGAATACCTGCTTAACTGGATGTCTTGGGATTTTTTCACACGTGTGGATCTCTGAAGCTTGCATTTGAGTTGGTATCAGGCAACGTTAAGGGTTTATCTGCAGTGTTATTGTGATGCGTTACTTCATTTTCATCTTGCCTTTCCTTCAAAGAGCGAAGAGTAAGGCACTTCTGTCTTTTCGTGACTTTGCCATGTTGGTTATGCCCATGGTCATCCAGATTTACAGCTGATGTCGTATTTTTCTGTAGATTGGCTCAAACTCATGCTACCTGATCAAGTCCCTGGTTGATGTTGTACCTATGAAGCCCCTCATTGTAAAGGGTGCGTGGCTCCCTTGTGATGGCTAGGCAGCCATAGGGTGAGTTCCTGGCTCCAACTGCAGAAATGAGATCTAAGATTGGAGCTGAGACTGACCTTGGAGCGCCCTTCCTCTGCTCTCACAGCTGGCACCGTTCTTTCGAAGTGCGACTGCAGAGCTGGTGTGAGTGGGCATTCTGGGAGGCAACTTCAGAGCTGGTGGGCACAGGGTTGGAAAGGGGAGGAGAGAAGTTCAGCTGGGATATGCAGAATCCCGTTGGTGTCTTGACAGCTCTTCCTCGTGACCAGGGGCAGAAGGTAGAGATGGGAGAAGTTGGCCATCTGTGTCATTTGCAAAGTGGGAGAAGTACAGAGGAAATCCCCACATCTAAGTTCCTCCCTCACTCAGTTGGATGTCTGTAATCTTCCAAGCTCAGTGGCTTAGGGGTTGCCAGAGTCAGAATAGGACAAGGGAAATGCAGGCAATACTCCTGCTCATCCATGAAGGTTACTTTGAACTTCTTATTGGGCAGTCTACCCCACAGAGTTGTTGTGCTGACAAAATGGGAGAAGAGAGGAATGATGCACACCACCATGAGATCTTGGATGAAGTAAAATAGCTTAGCCCTATCTTGAGTCTGGGACTGCAGGTGGCACAGTGGTTTAAACCACTGTGCTGCTGGGCTGGTTGATTGAAAGGTCGCTGGTTCGAATCTGCAAAATGGAGTGAGCTCCCGTTGCTCTGTCCCAGCTCCTGCCAAGCTTGCAGTTCAAAAGCATGCAAATGCAACTAAATAAAAAGGTGCCACTTCGGTGGGCAGGTAACAGCGTTCCGTGCACTTCGGTGTTTAGTCATGCCGGCCACATGACCACAGAGACTGTCTGCGGACAAACGCTGGCTCCCTTGGCTAGGAAATGGAGATGAGCACCGCCCCCTAGAGTCAGGCATGGCTGGACTTAACATCAAGGGGAAACCTTTACCTTTGATCTTGGATCTACCCCACTAACTATAAGTTCTGTTTGGTGAACTTTATTAGGGTCTTAATATTTTTCCCATATTTTAATGCATTGGAGACATATTTCAAAATGTATGCATCATGCAAGCACATGTGTGAGACAGTCAGCTTTGCCTGTAGCTCCTTGTTCAATGAATATTACTGGCACAACTGAGGGTTTTATTTTTGCTTTTTTAAAAACAGAAACCACCATGAGATGCATGACATGACCATTAGAAATAACCTTCTTGCTGTTTGTTTTGGCACAAGTCTGAGACTCCATTTCTTAAAAAGCAATTGACACAAAATGAGCCAACCAAGGGCCAACAAAACTGTTCCCACTGAAGTTAGGAAGCTTGCAAGTGTATGTAGGAAGCTACATACACACAGTAGAATCTTCCCTTTCATGTTTCCAGCAACAGGGATACACAGGTGTGCAGAATCTAATGCCTGATGCAATCTATTGCCATCATGACTAGTAGCCATTAATAGTCAGCAGCAAATGTATAGATTATGTGTGAGTCTTATTCTCTGGGCTGCAGGAAAGTCATATCCTGCACGGATAGTATGAATCTGGTTTCCACTGGGCCACATTATTGGTCTGCCTAGCTCAGTATTGTTTGCATCTTTGTGAGTTATTTATTTGCAGCATGTATATACTGCTCTACATCTAAACAAATTCCAGAGATGTGAACAATAAAAAGATTAAAAAATAAGGTAAAAAGCATAAAACAATGTGTTACCACAGGAACAATAAAATCATGTTTGGTCAGTAAAAGAAGGCTTCCTGAAATCAAGGGATTTCCAACGGTGCCAATTCAATTTCAATGACTGCCTGACCTCAACAGAGAGGAAATTCTGCAGAAAGGGAGCCACTGTGCTGAAGCCTCTTCTTCTGGTGGACTCCAATGGGACCAGAGGTCCAAGAGGAGCAGGCCATCTGATGCTCTGTGTCTGGGCAGGTTGGAAAGGGGGAGATGCTCACCTGGCCCCAAGTGTAAGGGCTTTAAGCACCAGCTTGGTAGCAAACGAGTCACCATTGCAGCCTCCTAGCAAAGGGGTTGACTGCCGAAAGGTGGCAGCTCCCACAAAAATTGAACTCTGCATTGTGCACCAGCTTCAGCTTCCAGAGCGGCCTTAAGGGCAGCTCCACATACAGTGCATTGTTGTGATCCAGTTTTTTGTTTACCAGTGTTTGTACCATCATGGCCAAGCTATCCCTGTCCAGAAGAGGCCATAGCTGGTGAACCAGTATATGGTAAAGAGCACTCTTATCTACCAGGATCACTTGGGATTCTGGTGACAGTGATGGATGTAGGAGTGCCACCAGACTATGGCCTGATCTTTCAAAGGGGGTGCAATTCTATCTAGTACAGGCACTGCACCTGTCTCCCAGGCTTGGAAACCACAGAGGGCTTCCATCTTGCCATCAGCTTCAGTTTATTGGTCCTCAACTTAGCCCGTCTAGACACTTTCAGAGTCTAAACACTTCCAGAAGCTCTCCAGTATCCTCCACCTGTGGAATATTTTTCCCCTTCATTTGGTACTCAAAATCTTCTTAACAGGAAGTACAGTTAATTGAAAATTAATTGTTGCAAGCCGTCCTGAGATGTTATACATAAAGGACGGCATATAAAAGGTTTAGATAGATGAATAAAATTTAACAATCTATCTTTCTTTGGGATTTTGCACACAGTCAAAATTTACACGTTTATGCCTCACGCTGTGCTTCAGAATATGCGTTGTCCACAATAATATTCCTCACTCAAATGATTATACAGAAGGGACTGTTCTAAGGCCATCACTGAGAAGGTCTTCTTTCTCTTCTGTATAACAAGATCTAAATTTATTATTCATTTTTATTTTATTTAGGAGATTTATAGGCCATCCATCACTGTCATCCCTGGACGGCTTACAGTATATTATAAATCCTAAACAAAATAAATTGGCTACACCGCAACCGAGTATAAATGGCAGGCACATCTTAATGTATGGGTAGGATTGTCCATACAATCCTATAATCCATATAGGATTTCTCCATATAATCTAGTTCCAAGCTATTTGGGCTCTAACCTTCAGACCAGGTCTTTGAATTGTTGATGGCTCCCCTTGAATCAAAGGGACTTGCATCAGTGTAGTTCCCTAAATGTGCTTGGGCAACCATGAAGTTCATCGAAAACTTACCAGATTTTCCTTAATGCGAAAATGTCAAGGCATGCAAACTTCCTTGAAAAATGTCTTGCCTACTGGTATTGATTTCCCACTGCTGTGGGAACCATAGGAGAGTGCTGGATGCATTTTCAGTTGAAACTATGCAGGATTGTTATGACACTCAACATGAGAATTGATCGGTGCACCACGTGAGCTCAACATGTGGCTTAGAACATGTGTCAGAACAGTCTTCACTAAGCTGGAATGGATTTCTATGGCAAGTGGGTGTCCCCCTGAAAATCAGTAGGTTTCCCTAAAGGCAGAATGTTTGAACAGGGCATATAATGTTTCTTATATGTAATTGTGCACGTGATATTGGAAATCATTCCAAGCTATTACCTTAAGCGTATGCTGTTGGAAGATGCTGTTTTGGTGTGGAGAAACTGAGCAATGATCAGTCAAAAACTGAAAATTATAGAATTTTATATAATATAAAATTCTCGTTAATGAGCCAGGGTGGGGGGATATGTGGACTTGTTTATGACAATACGGTGTGTGTCATTTTGCTGATGGATATTATGAGCAAAAGGAAAATGCAGCATGTAATGGAGACTCAGCTTTGAATGATGTCGCTCAAAGGGATCTCAAACAGGCCAAGGTGGGCAGCTTTCAGAGAAGACGGCGGCTGATGCCCTTGTGAAAAGCTCCAAGAAAAAGAAGCCAGACAGCCCCAGATTAGGACACAGTACCTTTAGCAAACTGTTTAGGCATAAGGTTGGTATTGGAGAGTAAAACAGCCACCACCCTGAACCCTGAATTGCAACAGAGGAGTCTTAAACTGAATGAAAAATCACAATGATTGGACTTAATAAAGAGCAAAATGATGCCAAGTACATAAGTATCCCCCTCAAAAAAATCAGACAAAGGAAAGTGTATCAAGTCTTTTAGAGTGTGAAAATTTGTATCTCAAGTAACATCTGTGAATGCAGTGTTCAGGGGTGGAAAGAACCCGCTGGCGACACCTTAATGTCCCTTTCCTCTTCCCCTCACTAACAACACCCATGTTGCTTTCACGCAGATCTGACAAACAATTTGGTTCTAAAAGTTCCCTTTGCAATTATGCTTAGCATGTGAAGTGATGCATTTAAAGAGTTCCAAACAAATTGACCTATTGGATCTTAATTGCCATTGCAGCAGGAAGGCAGCACAACTTTTATCCTCATGTTGCAGGAGGAGAGGAGGTATGAGGTTGAGAACGTGCTTCAGCTACCAAGAGAAGTCATTCATGTCTGAATGTCAAATTTCCCAGCTTGGTTTCTTATCGCATTGCTTCCATGTTATATTTCTTCAAGATATTTTTACTAGAAAAGTGTGGCTATGTTTGGATGGCATTTCTTGGTTTCACATGTCTCTATGAACAATCTATTTTCCCTGCATGGAGCACCATTGCAGACACTGGTGAACAAGCCAGGAGGTTATGTTCTGCTAACTATAGTTTCCTGTTTCTTTTGAATAGAAATGCTATGATTAACAAATTCAGGAAAAGCCAGGATATTAACTGTGATACTGATTTCCTATTCTGGTTTACTCCAAAGCTGTAAGCCAGAAGTTCCTGGTTCATAAGAACAGTTAACATCTTGGTTTGTTTGCCAGCTCCCACAGAGTGGGGTAAAGATTAGAGCTTATTAAGCTGTGATATGATCATCCAAACCCTCTCCATGTGAGTTCTGAAAAACCTTTACAGGCACACATAAGTTTTTCCCTATGGGGCAAATAACAGCTTTGGAGGTGGCTTTGGAAATTGTTCAAGAAAATGGTATTAAATCCCGCTTGAAATTCTGGACTCCCAATCCAAGTCAACTTCTCCCAAAAAAACACAGTACTGTTTATTTTGTTTTGAATGTAGAAGGATGGTAAATTCAGCCAGGGATCTTAATGTATAGTCTACTTTGGGCACAAGAAGCAGAGGAGTCCAATAGATGCAGAAGAGAATTTTGGTTGCGCTTGTTTCAGCCTAATATCAAGTAAGACTCATTTACATTGAATTTGATGAATACTCAGGAGAGCCCTCCTTCCAAACACATCACAATCCATCAAAAATGGGCCCTGACTCACTTTATATATTGCCATATCGCTGCTTGAACATCAAGCGTGCAACCGAACCCCTTCTGTGTTAACAGGCCTTGCAAAAGAGATCTTACCAGTAGGTTATATTTTTTGGCTTTGACATGCAGAGATGTGTGAGTACAAGAGAATATTATGCCTTTCTTATGGCAATCCATTATTTCCCTCCTTTCTTATATTTACATCCACTCAACAGATGTAGTTAGATCCCTCTGGTGTTGCTTATCTCCCATAGAGCCCAAGATGGTGTATACTGCACCTCTTTGTTAATGCAGTAGGTTGGTTCTGCTTCTAGGTGACCTTCATAACAACCTTTAAAAGAGCATAAGAAAAGAAGAAGATCAAGCAGACCAAGTGTTGGCCAACCTGCTGCCCAAAGGAAACCTACAAGCAGGGCATGACTGCAACAGCACCCTCCCACCCATGTTCCCCTGCAAGTGGAGGATAGTCTACTAAATCCCACTACCTAAGTTTACTGGCTCCGGTAGTGGAGGTAGCATATAGGCATCAAAATTATTAGCCATGATGCTAAATTGCTTTATTCTTCATGAATGTGTCCAGTTCCCTTTCAGGGCATCCAAATGGGTGGCCATCATTACCTCTTGTGGAAGTGAATTCTGTAATTTAACTCCTCACTGTGTGAAGAAGGGCTTCCTTTTATTTATCCTGAATCTCCTACCACACAGTTTCATGGGATGACTAGGGAGAAAAATGCCTTCCAATCCACTTTCAGATTAAACAGGGGTCTCAAACTCGCGGCCCGCGGGCCAATTGCCGGGACAGGCGGGGGCACGGGGGAGGGGCCCTGCGGCCTTCAAAGCGCTGGCGGCGCCTGGGCCGGCCACGGGATGAGCGGCCCACCACCACCGCGGGGGTGGAATACTGGATGCAGCCCAGCCGCACCCAGACTCTACTTCCAGCGGCCCCCAGGTCAGTTGAGTTTGAGACCCCTGCGATTAAATATAGCAATAATGAACCAAATTTTTGCAGTGTTTCATCACTGGACAGTGGGGAGTAAACATTGCTTCTCTCTGTTTAGTCCCTGGTCTGAGAAGAATAGGGTCCTGTATTGACGAAGAAAGTATGGGTGATGCTTGCTTTCAAAGAGTCATTTTAGCCAACTCTTGTTGTCAGGAAGAGAGTCATTAACTCTAGTCTGGAGTTTTTCTGTTGTCTTTTTTTTTTTTTTGGCAGTCTTAAAGAATTCCCAGTTACTACTATAGAAGCAATTAAATATTGAACTGTATCACAGAATTATTGAGTTTTTGAATTGAAAGGGATCTTGAAGGTCATCTAGTGCAAACTCTCATTCAGTCTTGCAACTACAACATCCCTGACTGTTACCCACTCAGCCTCTTCTTAAATATATCTTGCAAAGAAAAGTCCTCCATTTCCCAAGGCAGCTTGTTTGGGTGTCAAAGAAGCACAAGGAATAAGAGTTTGTGGAGCAGAGACTCTGCAGGTGAAGCATTAACAACAAAGGACCAGAGCAAGTGCCTGGTTGATGCTGCGAATTTTGTCTCTCAGATTTGGGTTAGTACAGAATTCTATCCATAATGCTATTGATATAATATTGGATTTGAATGTAAATCAATATTTCCTTCATTACTATATGGAGGTCTGGAGAAAAAGAATGCCAGCATTATATCCTGAGGAATGCATATACACAAAGATCTTTGACTTGTGGATGGAAAATTAATTACTGAATGCAGAAATTCTATTTAGACACCCACACGGAATTTTTGAGAGCATGGGGTCTTATATAATAAGAACATTTATTTGGAATATGGGCTGGTGCTGGAAAGCTGCTTAGGTTCATTAAATAACATTAACAACATATCTGATGTTGTTTTTTAAAAATGAAAGAAATCACCCATCCCCCTAAAGAGGAATGAGCTATAGATTTTCACAACAGCTATAACCACCAGAGTTGTGGGGGCGGGGATGTAAAGCTATGCTCCTATTCATACTCTTAAATAAATCATAGTTTTTATGCTGGAATTAATATAACTAGGATCAACTAAGGGAAAAGATGCCCTCTAGTATGTTGTCTGTGTGTGCAAGTGTCAAGCTTCCATCAAATAATTACTGATATTATACAAGTTTTAAAGTTTTTTTAAAATGAAGTATTTCAGGCAAGGAATTGTCAGAGATTATATGACACGTAAAGAAGAAGAAAAAAGTGTGTCTCACATTTCCTCTTTAGTGATATTCAGGTTGCTTCTATTGGGGTGATCCTTTACACATCACAAAAAGGAAGACATGATAGGCTAATTTATAGCATAGATGCAAAAGTAGAAAGCATATTTCAAGCAACAGTGCAATGCATCTCACCAGAACGGGGAGGACCATGACCAGGGGCCTCGTGTGCCTGCTCGTCTGTGTCCAGGTGCCAACTGTGGTTGTGCAATTCAGTGCTCCACTTCTCCCTTTGGGGCTGCTTTTATTTATCTGTTTGCTTGTTTGCTTGCTCCGTTTCTATACTGCCCAATAGCTGAGGCTGTCTGCTTCTACACGATGCTGCTGTGGGACCATATCCAGGCCCCTTTCACAGAATTGTATGGGAAACAAGACAACATCATCTCCCACTCATCACTTTCCCATGTTTTCTTACCACTTCTTAAAGCTAAAGGCCTGTTAAAGAGGCGGAAAAAGACAGGACAGTGGCACAATGTCTTCTGAATGCTTCCCTCTGTCTGGAAGCGCTCATCTGTGAACCAGACTTGCACCAAACAGCCCTTCCAATAGGCTATTATGCTCTGCAAAGTAGGATACACGGTCCCCCTGTGATACACATCACATCAGGTCTCACAACAGAAGGAAACACATGTTCCTCTTGGAATGTTAGGAGACAGCACAGAGAACAGCATCTGCTACTCAGTCATGCCTCCTGTTTTCTGGTATCCCATAACTTTGGTGGTGGAGATCACTTCTACTTGAAGTCTTAAAGAAAACAGTGGAGCACAAGAAGTACCAATAGCTCATGTTTCCTCTCCTCCTCACAGCTCAAAACATTGGAGACCAACCTCATTTTCTTTTCTCTTCCCAAGCTGACATGGTTTTCAGGCCTCCATGTTGAACCCTAATTTCAGCCCCAAACCATTTTGTCTTTACAAAGTTAATATCACCAAAATAACATTGATACTAACCACTAGCAACTTCCATTTTGTTGCATGGGTTCAAGTCAGTAGTTCATGTGTTTAAATTTGCAGTAGCAATTATGAATGCTTGCCACATTTCCAAAAATAATCCCTGCAGTAGGGATTTAGGGTGGAATGGGAAATGTTGTGAAACATACAACCTTGAAACAGTAATGGGTGAAAGTGGTAAATAATGATGTTCATGTGGCGGGCAGCCCCTTCCCACAGGTTGAAGCGGGTAAAACTCATGCTGGGTGTAGCCAAAAGGGGATAAGTAAAACAACTGATTCTGGTTTCTATAGGTAAAGGGATCTAGGATGCCACTGGTGTTCATACGTCCATTTTCTTTTGGTGGCTTGTGCAGAGAAGACATCACAAGAACATGGGAAGAATCGTGCTGAATCAGACTAAAGGCCCATCTGGTCCTTCATTCGGTTTCCACAGTGACCAGACAGATGCCTGTGGGAGGCCCATTAGCTATAATATATATTTTATGACTAAGTGAACCTCTCTGTGTTCAATCTTTAAACATGAACCCAGATATTTCCTGATACTATGAAATGATAATGTCTTGAATGATTCACCCGTGTATATGTGTTTTCCCCACTTTTAGGCAAAGAAAGATGCCCAACAGACAGCAAATACCAAAGTGAGTATCGCCATCAAAAAGCACAGATCTTGGACGTGCTTTTTGATGTGACTAAGATGTCGATTGCCACGCTGTGGCCATGGCCTGTCTCCTTTAATCCTGCGATATATGATGGCAAACGTGTGAATGAATGACTCTTTGTAAGGTGTAGATGTGCCATGTTGTTATCTCTTTTTTCTTCCCATTGTCATTACCTGTAAGATGTTCTGCCATTGGCAATGCTGATGATCATTGGTTTTACAAATTCTTGCATGTGTACCTTCTAGAGTACTGAGAACCTTGATACAACGACTGTTGTAAAATCGGAAACAAGCATCCCTCCATCACAGGAGATTCCAACAACAAAGCAGAACACAAAAGCCCCTGAACCTGTCACACAACAACCAGCAACAGCAGCTGTGGTTATTACCAATGAAACTCCAAAAGAGATTACAAAGGAGAGATCCTCTTCTACTCCCACACCTCTAAGTAAATTCTTCTGGAAAAAGGTACATGAAGGTTTTAGATCATCTTTTACCTAAGTAGTTAAATTACAGTTATGTTTATCATTAGAACTTTTCTTTTTCATTAGCTTTGCACTGGTCGAAAGCTGAGAGAGATCTTAATGCTTATTGTGTCGTATCAAGGCCAAATTTTTAAATGTGCACTTGTTCTTACCAACACATACACATTTATTGTATGGCAATTCAGAATTACTCATTGAGCAGAACTGATGCTGAGCTAAACAACCCGATGTCTTGTCTGTCTCTTATGGATATCCTGGCCAGTCCTGCAAGCTCACAGTAAAACCAATATAGATATATCAGTAGGCATAACTTTTAATTTTTGCAAGATGATTTACGCTCAAGCAGTGCCCACCAGGAAAACTCCCACTACCAGCTCCTTTTTGCTTTTTGCTATTATTACTATGGCTTGGCAAAGCATAACATAGCTAATAAATTATGTCTGGACATTTTCTTTGAAGAAAAGAGGTGCCTGGAATTTCCTCACAGGATACAATTGCTATCACTAGTGAAAATAAACCCTCTGCATCGACATAACATGACAGCCAAAGTGCATTTGGGCAACAACCATAGCAGCACAAGTTGGATTAGGATCCTCTATAATGCCATTCCTATTTTGTTTTCTTAAAAATTGTGTCCTGGAAGACAGCCTCCACCTGATTGGCAATAGTGCTTTGGAAGAGAACCAAGTTTGACTTGCATGTCTGAGTTGGAGAAATAAATGTTATTACTATGGGAAGAAATGTAACTGCTAAAGTAGCTTCTTGTGTAATGGCTATGAAGAAACAGCATCACGGATAGGCTGGTTAAAAATTGCATTTGGAGAGGGTGCATTTGACAAGAGCACTCATATCAATATTAGTTGTTTTAAAAGTAGGAAAGCTTCAATCCAGACAAGACGGAGGTTCAATCCAGACAAGACGGAGGTCCTGTTGGTTGGCGGTTCGGGCTTCGGAGAAGGTGACCTGAACCTTGTCCTGAATGGGGTTGCACTCCCTCCTAGGGACAAGGTCCGCAGCTTGGGAGTGCTCCTCGACCCGGAGCTTTCACTTGAAGCTCAGGTGACAACAGCGGCGAGGAGCGCTTTCCTCCAGCTTCGGCTGATTCATCAGCTGCGCCCCTACCTGGAGTACGACTGCCTTGCAACAGTGACTCATGCGCTGGTGACTTCCCGTCTTGACTTCTGTAACGCGCTCTACGTGGGGCTACCCTTGAAGACGGTCCGGATACTTCAATTGGTTCAGAATAGAGCTGCCAGGCTGCTGACGGGGACTGGACGTTATGTTCACATGACACCAGTTCTCCGTCAGCTTCACTGGCTCCCCATTGAAGTCCAGGCCCAATTCAAGGTGTTGGTAATGACCTATAAAGCCCTAAACGGCTTGGGTCCTGGTTACCTGAAGGAGCGCTTACATCCATATTTGCCCAGTCGCCCCCTGAGATCGGCGGGAGAGGCCCTTCTCCGGGAGCCCTCCGTGAGAGAAATTAGGAGGGTGGCTACTCGGAGAAGGGCTTTCTCAGCGGTGGCACCTAAGTTATGGAATGCGCTCCCCAGAGAGGTCCGCCTGGCGCCGTCGTTATTTGTTTTTCGGCGCCAGGCTAAGACCTTCTTATTTAAGCAACATTTTAAATGCTAAATACAATTGAATTTTATCTGGCCAGGGCGGCTTATTTTATAATGTGAGTTTTAATTAAGATTATTTTATATGGATTTTAACTTGTTTTATCTATGTTGTAAGCCGCCCCGAGGCTTCGGCGAATGGGGCGGCATAAAAATGTTTTAATAAATAAATAAATAAATAAATAAATAAATAAATCCTATTCAAGTTTGGGCAGGAAAGGCCTGCACCTCCTGGCTCTGCTGGCTGGGGCATGCAGGGAGGTGTAGGGCTTTTCTCGGTCCAAAATTGCATGGGATGGCATCCTAAATGGCCTTTTTTGAGCAATTTCATTGGAATGTATTGGTTGTAATACATTTATTTAGTAGCTGTGGTTAAGTGTAGGATATTATTTTGGATTGTGTTACGTATTTTCGGGTTTCCATTTCTGCCATCAGGATTATTAAATTGCATTCTGCTTAAGAAGAAAAATAAACTTTAAAAAAGGCAAGGTGATGATATACTGACTGGAGGTTATAATGAAGAATAATCATGCTAGCTCTTTCTAAATTTGCTTTGTGGAATCATGATCACCACCTATATATTTCTTCCAGTGAACAGTCTTCTCAGCTTAGCTGATGGAATATCTATTTCTACTACTAATTTGGTCAATGGCAAAATTGCCAATGATTACTTGACTCTTGAATTTAAAAATAAAACTAAATGTTGTGATGAAAACAAGGAGCTGCTGCCAAAAATGGCATTTCCATGTTGAGGTTCCACTTCTTCTGTAATTATTTTGCAAATCTTATCCAAAGTTCAACATTATAACATTATGAGTTTCCTCAGTCTTGCTCACATACTTGGCAGCCATGGGTCATTCAGAGGTCAGAACCATGGTAAATTTTATAACATCATGCTGTGGAATCTGGGGAGACAGTGATACAACTCCAGGCTGCTTTTGGGTTGCAGCCTGGAGTTCATCCTGATGTGTCATTCTTCTCCCAAGAACTGATCTTGTGGGTTAGTTCAACAGAATTGCCCTGTTTTTGCCTCCTTGCCTTCAGTTTGGAGTAGTCTCCCAGTGCCCACCAAGGAAGAACATCACCACAACCAAATACTATTGCTAGGTTTGGGACAAACCCTAGAAGCATCCATCCCTTCAAAATCTAGACTTTCTGTCATGCTTGGCTCAGTCTTGCAATTAATTTAATTTAATGCACTGGCATTGCATACAGGTGGACTCCATCTAACTGCTGATAATATACCATGTCTGGAGTAAGTGAGTTCCACCAGGCATGTCACAGCAAAGTAGGTGAATTTGCTACACAACCAACAAGTGCTGCAATAAAAATATTTTGCACCTTCACATCTTGCATATATCAAGTACTATTTAAATCTATTTCAGTTCCATGTTGGGACCCAACGAAATCTGGGAAAAAAATCAAAGCAATTAACTCAATTTTTAAACATCCACAGAATTAGTTACAGCTTCAGTGGGGGGAGTGATTGTGACTGTGTTGGAAATCAGTTGGGAAAAAGAACTTTGAAACTTAAAGCTATTTAAAGAGACTTCAGCTTACTGTAAATATTTCAGTTAAAATTTAGCATTTCAGTTAATTTAATTTTAAGTAGATTCAGCTACAATAAACAATACTGGCTTGTGGTTTATGAAAGAAAGTAAAAGCTTCATTCTCAATTGTTTAAAGTGTTCAGTGAACTTGAATCTTAAAATAAATAAAATATAAAGTATTATATGGATTTATACAGATATTTAAAAAGCTATAAACAGTGGAGATTATGATAAGCTGAATTCCTGAGCAACTGATATAGACTATTGAGTCTAGAGAAAAAGAAAATAATAACAAAGAAGTCATGATTTAATATGGCTATAGTGCTCCCTCTGTTGGATAAATGATGTATAGCCATTTTAACTTGGTGAAATAAAGCTCAATGATTTGATATGGATATAGAGCTCCATCTGCTGGATGAATGTTGAATAGCCATTTTTTAATTTGTGGGAATAAGTGATTTAGTTGGATTTTGAATATTGACTTGTTGGTCTTAAATTGCTAATGCTGTGAAGACAACCACAATAAAAAAACTCACTCTGTCTGGACATGTGAAATAAGAAGATTTGAGCTACTAGATTAACACGTACAGAGTGAAGAGAAATTTGAAGGATACACAAGGAGCGAAACAATGGCTGAAGAAAAGATATTGAAATCTTTTAAAAAGATTCTGGACTCAAGTATGAAAGAATTAAAATAAGATAATTCTCAGTAATTGAAATGGATGAAAGAGCACTTGTCAGAGGATATTAATGAGCAAGCAAAGGCTATTAATCAGATAAAAATTGAAAATCAGAACGCTTTTACAAAAACGATGAATCAAATGAAGGTGATGGAGAAGAAATGTGAAGAAACAGAGATGTAAGCTAATACATTAGACATAATTTGCCATTTTGGAAAAATAAAAGCTGGAGTAAAAGGGGATTGATTTGGAGATCATAGAAGGAATTTACAATTGAAAAATACATCACAATGACCATCAACAGAAGAAAAGCAACTCAGAAGTGAAGTGCTTGCATGGTTTAAAGAAATCATGCCAGATGAGAAATGAGAAGAAGATGATATAGACAGAATACATTGTGTTGGCCTCCAACTTCAGGTTAGACTAACTCCGAGAGATGTATTCTCCAACTTCTATAAGAAGGAAAAGCTGATAAGAAAGTTGAGTGAAAATTCAGGTCAACTAAAGTTTAAGAATGCACCTATTCAAAAGTTTCAAGTTTTATGTTTCCAGGCTATTTTGTTTAGATGTGCGTTACAAGCATTTAAGAATATTTTGTTGAAGAATAATATTAAATATACTTGGGGATACATGGAGAGTCTGGCATAATGGAAAATATTACAGAATAGAGTCACTGGAACAAAGTTTAAAATTGGCTCATGAATGAGGACTTATGGACAAAGATCAGTGGAAGAAAGAAATTGAAAAGATGGGCCAGAATAGAAGACAAGTTCAAGAATTCACTTCAACAGAAGGAAATAGAGTGGGACAAAATATTAAAGAATAGATGAAAAAAATATTAACAAGTAAGGAATTGCAAGGAATTGGAAAGTAAAAGGTGATTATTAAATAGATGACTGATATAAAGATGTTTGGAATATAACTATTATTCTGTGTCCTGCACTCTGGTATCGCCAAGAAGAGAGCTTGACCTTCCTCTTTGTGACTGATTTTGAGGTACTTACAGAGGAATATCATGTCCTCCCTCAGTCTTCTCTTCTCAAGGCTGAACGTGCCCAGTTCTCTCAGTCTCTCTTCACAGGGCAGTGTTTCCAACCCCTGGATCATTTCTGTTGACCTCCTCTCGACCCTTTCTAATTTTTCTGCATCTTTCTTAAATCCTGGTGCCCAGAACTGGACAAAATATTTCAGATGAGATCTGACAAGTGAGGAGTATAGAGGAACTACTACTTCTCATGATTTGGAAATAATACTTCTGTTAACGCATTAATACAACCCAAAATAGCATTTGCCCTTTTGGTGACTGCATCACATTGTTCCCTCATATTTAGCCTATTGTCCACAAATGATCTTACATTAAGTAGCAAGAATTTTTGGTCCTGGTGGGGTAGCACCATTATTATTGTATTATTTAATTATGCTTATTATGTTTAATTAATATTTTAAAAAGAAGATGGCAGAGAATGGTTTCGTCTTCTCTTCCATGTGCTGCTGCATGAGATATCTAGACATACTTTTCCAGAACCCCTGGTTACAGCATCATTGACCAAGGGGCTCAGGAATCAGGGGAGCTGGTTTTCAGGTGGGCATGATACCTGCTAACTGTCAGGCAGGAAATACTGAACACAGCTATATGAAACCACCTCATATAAAGCCAGGCATTCTTGCTCAGTGCTGACTAGTCTAACTGGCAATGGCTTTTCTGGGTTCTGAGCAGGATTCTTTTGCTTCTGCTCCCTGGGATCTTTTCAGCTGGAATACCAAGGACTGAACCTAGTGCCTTCTGTATCCAAAGTTTCCCCTGTATTATGGCGCTATGGGACCTTTGGATTAAGCATTGCATATGGGAAAAGGCGGGGGGAAATAATCAGTTTCTACCTCCTTCCAAGATGACATGTAATAAAATCTGGCTGGCTGGCTTTTAAAATTTTGAAACAAACATTTATACTCCTGTAGATGATGATGATGATGAACAGTTTTGGTTTATTGAAATACATTGCTGTGAAAGAATACCTGTGCCATTTCCTAACATTTGTTACGAATAACTTGCAGACTCCAACAGATGACATAGAAGTGATAAATACTGAGAGAATTGAAGCATCTCCTGAAGTCCCAGCTAAAGAAGAAACCAAAACCCCAGAAGCTGCAGAAACAAAGTCCAAAGTAGATGAGAAACCTACCAAAACAAACCTGAGGAAATTCTTTAAATTGGTAAGAACGATATTTTTTTCATTTTAATTTTCATGTGAGAGAGATATGGTCCAAGAAGAATTAAAATAGCCATAGACTTCTGTTTGCAGTTATTCATTAGGTGTGGTGTATTGCTGGGTACGCACACATGGGTTGGGCCTGTACAGAACATCAAGCCAAGCAAACCTGTTTTCCCTGTTTCTGGTTTGTTTCTCTAGCACCCATTTTGCTAGTCTTCAGAGCAGTTGCATTTTCAAGCTGCTATTGCTGGACATCTCTTTCTCAGGGCAGACACCAGAACCAACAAGCCAGGGATAAGCCACAGTGAACAGCATCCTTCTGATGCAACATGGAAACTCACTTGTGAGAACACTTGTGACTGAATTAAATTTAACATGGTTGTTATACAAAAACATGGAATGCAAGTATATGCTGTTGTTAAACTATTTAGCCCCACAGTGCCTACCATGACTGACAGAGGTCTTCCCAGGACTCAAGCCTTGGACCTTCTGGGATAACACTTAATTTTGGTGATCTTTCCCCCCATACACCAAATCAAGTAGTCCCCAAGTGAACTCATAGCAAAGGACACCCAAAGACATTGCGGCCAATGGGAAGCCTAAAGTGTAGGCTTGATGAAGAGAGGAGTTGCCAAATTCATACTAAAAGGGCATGGTAAGGAAAGTCTTCCACAGGAAGCTTCTCCACCTTATTCACAAGGGCTAAGACAAAGGGGCCGCCTAGGTTCACCTGCTAGTTATCTGTAAACGCCGCAGAAACACGGCAGCAAAGCTTGTCATCCTTTGTTATTTTAGTCAGTCAGGAGCGATGCAAGGGCAAGTCCTTCGGAAGAGGTAAATGGGCAAGTGCCTGATTGCCAAGTAAGTTCACGGCTCAGTCAATCTTTCTTGGTGATGGGTTCTGCCGAAAGTCCACGCCTGTAGAATTTTCCTTGCCTGGTTACCCTAATGATGGTGTCATTGATTTGCACACGGCATTACATGCATCCTTTGACCTCTTGTATTTCATTCTGTCTTTCTTTCCTAATCATGTTTTGCTTTTGAAGTGGCACTGTTACGTTAAAAAAGAAAGAATAAAAAGATCTTTGGAAGCAATTCTATTCGTGATGAACCTAAAATGAATCAGGTAGAAAGTGTTGCACTGAATCAAGTAGAAATTGGTATAGTGCAGTCCTTGTAGAGGCAGTGCAGCATAGTGGATAGAGTGTCAGGCTGAGAAGTTCCAGGTTCCAGTGCTCACTCAGCCAAGAAACTCTTGGGTGGCTTGGGATCAGTTGTTGACTCTAGGCCTAGCCTACTTCACAGGGCTGCTGTTGTGAGATAAAATGGAGAGGAGGGGAACTTTGCAAGCTCCCTTGAGTTCCTTGCAAAAGGAAGACAGACAGGGCATAAATGTTATAATGACTATTACTGTTGTTGTTGCATTGCATTTCTATTCTCTTGCAAGGAGCCCTCAGCAGCTTACATAGCTCCATGTTATCCTCACAGCAACAGCCCTGTGAGGTAGGTTAGTCTGAGAGCGACTAGACCAAAGGCACCCAGTGAGTTTCATGGCTGAGTGGGGACTACAACACAGATTCCCTGGGTCCCCAGTCCAGCACACTCACGACCACACCACAGTGGCTCCTGATCATCTGGAACACATGGCTTGAATGTTGCTAGAGGAGAACATTTTAGCAGAGAACATGGGCAGTAACAGCCACCTGCTAATCCTTTGTGGGAAATGGTCATTCCTTGTCCTGCTACTGAAGCCCGATGACCTAGGAACCCTATAAGTGCCATCAGGGGTTCTAGAAAGAAGAGCCGGCAGTAAATGTAACACCCTGCCAACTATAAGGATATACCAAATAAATCGGACAGGTTTAGTATTAAGTTCTGCACACAACACTGTCAGTGCACTGGGCCGAGTGTTTCCTGGCCTTAGCTTTTCCGCAAAGCCTTAAATTGAAACAAGGCCTTTCAGGGACTGGTGCTCATATGCACCCTGCGCAGAGTGCGCAGTCGCCATGCAACTTTATTTCAGCTCATGGTGGTCACAGTGCAGAACATGGAGAAAGAGGGGAGCAGTTGCCTGGCGTCCACAGCAGCATCCAGAGAGCCCTTGTTCAGGAGTCCCTCAGGGCAGCTGGTGGCAGGGTGGCCAGTTGCTCCTTCAGTGGGACCATCCCTGCTTGGATGGTCTGCTGTGCTCTCACTCTTGAGGACTCTTTACTGGAGTGCAGTAAAGCAAAGATGCAGGCATTGCCGATGACATTCGGCTCTCCCATCCATGAAACTCTTGCCTCCTGCAGCTCCAACAGCAGCCTGTCTCAACATGGCACTTCTCAGATTTCTCAGCCTTCCAGACCAGCACCTCCAGGGGCCTAAGCAAATTGAATGTGGAATACATGTAATAATAGTGATAAAAGAATTAAAAATCACGAGAAATGTTAGGAGCTCGCATTGTACCCTAGCTGACCCATAAGCATGGAAAATACGACAACCGGTGACCCACCTTTTAAAGGCTGGCCTTGCTTTCAGATGTCCAACCTTGGCATAATGTCCCAGAAGTCCTGCAATGGCTTAGATGGGAGAGATAACTATTCATTCTGTGTACTTTGTAGTATGGAACTAACAGTGCCATTTGGTTTCTTATTCTTTTAGAAACTGTATAGTTGAAGTGTGAATCCTTCTGATCCTCACTCTTTCTCTAGATTTTGGTGTTTTGTTTTTCCCTCCTGTTATAAGGAACTGCTTTGGAATTGTCAATGTTTTCCAAAAAAAAAAAAGTATAAATAAATAAATGGCCATGTTTATTCCATTTGCAATTTCATAAAGAATGTTCTGTGGCATTGGATTTGATCAAATCATGGCTTGTCAATCTTCTGGTGGAATATTGTGATTTCATACAGGGGGAATTCTGTTCTTACCACCTTTCCTTCCTATAGTTTGGTGTTATCTCTCATCTTAATCTGTCCAGTCTCCTTTTTTCCTCTCTCTTCTGGTTCCATGCTTCATTCCTGCTTTATCATAGTGCCATTGTTTGCATGCATGTATGTAAAAGGCCTGTTTTCCTAGGGCTGTGTCCAGATGCCAACTTCCAGGGCTTCAAATACGATGTAGCAGACAATGGGGAGAAGGGGACACAGTCCAGCATAGGAAGCTGCTTTCTCCTAAGTCAGACCATGGTCCTGTCTTCTTCAATATCACCTGCTCTGACAGGTTACAGCAGTCCAGGAACTTTTTTCAGCCTTACCTGGAGGTAGCAGGAATTGAACTTGGGGCCTTCACCATACAAATGATGTGCTTTATTTGGAAACCCAAGAATCATCAGCAACATGGAAGGCAAAACACCTTCTGCGCTCATCCCAGGCAGGTTCCTGTGGATCAGTGGTCAGCTAGCATTGACTTAAGCATCCCACAATAGAGCTCACCAGGCTGTGGAAGATTGTGACCAGGTGACTGCTCTGTTCTTCCATTGCTATCCACCTAGTTCTCACCTTTCCAGGGTTCTTTACCTTCAATTCAATAGAACGGTCCTCTGGCAACCCTTTACACTGAGGACTGTCCTCTGTAAAAGAGGATATATAACCAATTGACATGGTTAAAACCTTGCCACAGCCACAAAGAGCTCTTCCTTGGCCTCATAACCTCATTTACAATATGAAGTTATAACTACAGAGGGCTGCTTTACATGGTTGCTGCTATTATTCTGATGTCATGTGTGCAACAACCTTTGAGCAATCAGAAGTATGCTAGAAATGTCAGGAAATGCCCATTTTTTTACATACCCCAATGCCAAAATAAGAGCCATCTGGACACAGCCCCATGTCAAATGTCTTTCCTTTTTTTCCCATCATGCAAGAAGTCAAATAAAACTAGAGAACTGTGTAAAAGGGGGAAGAAAAAAAAAAAAGAAATGCTTTGCAGAAAACCAGTTATGCACTTTTGCTCACATGAGTAGGCCTGCAATTGCAAACAAGCAACTCTTGTGTGTAATGGTGACAGACTCCATTCCATGTTAATATGCCGGACAGTTCAATTAAATGCAATTTTATTGGAAAGTAGGCCCGGCTGCAGCACCAGCATTAATGAGTTTGCATAGATGGCAGCCTTCAATCTACTGGGTAACTGATTTTTCCTACCCACCCACCCATTATTTGGCTTGCAGGGAGGGGAACTTTAACTTTCCTAAGCTGAGGAGCCCTGCCAAATCAAATGCATTTCTTATTTTAAGCAAAAAAGAAATAACTGATGTTTGAAACTGCTTTAGACACTGGACTTCACAGACAGGCCCTTCACCCAGGCTGAGAACAAGGAACCTGTGGGCGAGAAGACTCAAGAGAGCTCAACAGAGAAGCTGAGCATGCAGAAAGGAAACCCACAGGAAACCAGCAGGAACCAACGGGAAGATCAGCAAAATTCCAGAGAGCAAGAAACAGCTGAGACAAACTCCCTTCAGAATGGAGGGGATGCTGCGAAAGAAAGCACTCCCAAGAGGGCAGAGAAGAGGCAGTCACTTGGAGGGTTTTTTAAGGGTCTTGTACGTTACCTTTTTTCTTCCTTTGGTGATCCTCACAGAGCCGCCATTCCTGGAAACTTTCTTATTTGGCCAGATTGGGGCTTAATGTCAGAATGCTTCCAGGGCTGCATGCTAAGCCAGAAATGGTATGTGAGGATCTAAATGCATTTGATCCTATTCAAGAAATGGCGATCGTTTTAGGAGGCCCTGGGCAAGCTGCCTCCTGTAGCTCTGCCAGTAAATGTATCAGGAGGTGAGTAGAAGTGGGGAGAGGTCACAGCACTCAACCAGTGTAGCAAAGAAAAGGGCTGGGCAAAATGGCACCCACCGCGACCACCATCTTTGTTTCCCAGAATATTTCCGGGTCAGTGAAGATGGTGTTGGCCAGATTCTTATCCAGCCTTCCTCTTTGCTTCACTGGGAACAACTGTGAATTGTCTTTAAAAAATTATTTTAAAAAAGAAGTGAAGAGAATGTTAGCTACCAGACTCAGTCATGCAAATGTTCTGTGGTAATTTCCAACACTAGGCCTAGCAAGGATGGGCAGTATCATAGCGAATACATACTGAAACCATAAAAAGTAGTCTTGTAGCATCTTAAATGCTAAGATTGATTGTGGCATACACTTTGGAAGACTAGAGCCTACTTCAGAGGAAAGTGGGTGCCGGCACACAAAAATTCATAGCAAATTTCTTTGAACTTTTCTGCACAAGGCTGTATCTCCTTTTGGTTTTGATGCAGAACTGAGATCTAAGCACAACTGAATACAACTGCACATCTGGACAGTCATGTGAACTGGATGGGGTCACTCAGTGTCCTGCAATAGCTGGGAGTTGGACTCAACAGCCTTCTGGTCCCTTCCAACGCTACTGTTCTATGATTCTAGGAAGTATTCCCTTCCTTGCTTTTCCAAGACATTTCCTCTAGGTCGCACTGTGGTATAGCAGAATAGCATAAACGCACAAAAAGAAATAGCATTTTTTCTTCTTTCACAAGTTATAGCACAATTTCTCTGCCAAAATGAAAAACAGAAGTGAATGGAAGGTTGCAATGTCATCTGAAGAACTCTTAAATAACTGTGAAGAGAAAATGATGAGTACATAATAAATGCCTTTGTAGAAATGTTATTAGGGCTTATGGGCATCTAAGGAAGATCAGGGCAAGCAGTGGAGGCAATCTGTGCCGCTCTGTCCTCCCACTCTGCATTTTTGCCCACATAGCTGGGGTGTTTCAGCTGGGGGAATGCAGCTGGAGTGGGGTCGGGACACCTCATATCCTGCCCACTCCAATCTCCTCCTTGCCTCCTGCTCCAGCCTTTTTAGCTCCTCCGGCACTCCCTTTACCAACCTTACAGAGCACTGGCTGTGAGTCTGCTGGCACTGGCTGGAAGGGGAAGGGCAAAAAGCAGGAGGAATGGCGCCCAAGGACTGGAGTCTGCCTCTGACCTCAATGCCGGGAATCCAAACCAACCTATGACCCCTTAGGCAATGTCACAGGGCCACAGGATCATTCCCTTACGGGGCAATCCTGGGCATATGTAGGCAGAAAATCAGTCCAGGAACACTCTGCATGCCCAAGCCTGAAGAATGCTAGAAATGTTGTTGTTGTTGTAGTTGCCTTGTATTTATATCTTTCCTCATTTCTTCTTGTGAGGAACCCAAAGTGTTTTACTTAGCTCCATTTTAGCCACACAACCATGTGAAGTAGGTTAAGCTGAAAGGGAGTGACTGGCCTGAAGTGGGGACTAAAACCCACATTTCCAATGAGTTTTGTGGCCAAGTGGGGACTAGAACCCAGATCTCCCAGGTCCCCAGTCCAGCACTTTCACCACAACGACAATCTGGTTCTTTGTTTACGCATGCACAAAATTGCTCTCATAATTGTGAAAGTGCCACAAATCCATTCTTTTTGCTCCAAAGGGCTAGAGGCCAAACAAAATATGGCCTTTACACGCTTGGGTTTCGTTTACTACAGGGCACCCACACTAGGTGGAAGGGAAGAATCCACACTGAAGTGACAATGAAGAAGGATTTAAGGCTTTGCCCCACCATGGTTCTGATCCAGATCACCCCCTAATGAATAGCTGTTCAGAAAAAAATGCACAGAAGAGCCAGTAGCATCCTGAATGGCATGTCTAGGTTGGCTCTCATAGAACTGCTCCTCCGGAGTTTTCATGATTCTGCAGAGTAGCTAGAAATGTAAGGCTGGAGAAATCTATCCCATGAGTGATTCTCCACCTGTGGAACATGCAGCCTGTTGCTGGTGACTCTTGCCTTGGATGAACAAAGGCAGAATAATAGAGATGCCTACTGAATTGCATCCTTTCAACCAGGACAAAAATCTTTCTCAGAAGCAGGTGTCACACCCTGAAATGGACAGAGTGGCGGCCCTTTTTTGTTTCAACAAAATATGAAAGTGCATCTTATTAACTGGGGATTTGGGAAGAAATGGCTTTCCTACACGGCATTTACTCTGCACCTCCTATTCCCTAAGCACAGTTGTTTATGGGTTTTTAGACAACATTGTGATGCTCCAGTTTTGTTTCTGTGTCTAACCAACATTGAGTGTTTTTAGAGCAGGGGAAATGCAGTATTTCATTCAGAAAGTGAAAGTACAACTTCCTCCAGTGCATCTGTTTTATTCTGCCGCACCACAGTGCCACCTAGAGGCTATGAAGCAGAAAAGCAGGAAAAGAAACCTATTTATTCAAGGAGATGCAGCAGATTAACATCTTCTTGGTGAAAAGGTCAGAGGAAAAGGAACACAGCATTTCTTCACTACAGAGGTCCAGTTTTCAATTTTGCACTACACTAGAATGGATACCTATTTATAAAATGAACGGTCCTTAGACAAGTAGCCCAATCAACAAGCCCACATGTAGCATAGTGAAGTCAGGCTCCCATACCTTTGGAATCACCAGGCATTTTGTGCATGTCTATTTTCTACACATTTAGCAAGGAGCACATCATCACCACCATCATCATCTCTATGCCACCCATAGCTGAAGTTCTCTGGGTTGTTTAGAGCCATGGGTAAAACTAAACAATACAACACAAATATCATAAAAAACAAAACAATGTTAAAATGAGTTTTACATTATCTTAAAATAGCTTTAAAACATAGTGTTTTAAAAATGACACTATGTTTCAAGGCTATTTTAAGATATTTTAATATATTAAATTGATATCAATTATTATTTAGTTAATATATTAAATATTGATTATTAATAATATATTAATAATTTAATAAAGACCCTGCAAGGAACCTTTATGGCTGAAACAACACAGTACACCCACTTTTTTCTCCCTATGAAAGAGTCTCAGTGACTGAGATCACACAGGGAAAAGATTCTTAATGCTTTCTTCTCCATATTTGTCTATTAAAAATGACCCTCACCCCCAAGTTGCTTTCCCAACTGTGAAGGGAAGGACAGAGTATCCAAACGGATGCTGCAAATTCTCACCTGCAAAAGGTGAGAATTTGTCCTCAAGCACTGCAGGTGCCGTTTGAAGCCTTGACATTTAAGGTCTTCCCTTTTTCACAGGCAGCACTCTTATAATTCACAAGACTAGCTAAGGGTTACTGAACTGGGGAGGGGGGGAGCTGGGCATTCCTTGCAGTTTGCTTTCTACCCCCATTGCTAGAGATTCAACTCAGTGCTATGGAACAGAAAGGGAGAAAACCCCCCACAAACATAGCTGGATTTCATGTGCATCGACAGCTGACTTTTTTGTGCTCAGACACTCAGTTCTCCCTTCCTGAAACAATGTGGGAGCCAGGAAGCATGGCTTCTGTCTGCATGCTGCAGGTGCACCTGTGCCATTTTCCATTGACTCAAAGTGCACCTCTAATTGTTCTTTGAGCCACGATTTGCAAAATGGGTGTCCTGGTATGCAAAAGAAGTGTGGGGGGGAGAGAAACAGAGAACAATCAGATATTTGCAGGGGGGGGAATCCCACCTTTTTATTTTTTAAAAAAATCCCTCTCATAACCATAAGCTACCCTAGGCTCTTTATTTACCCACAGGTAAGCAGGAGGTGAGCTAGTCTGGATCAGGACCAGCAAAGGTGAGGAGGGGAGCTTTAAACCTTCCCCTTCTGGTAGTCACCTGTTCCAGAAGATCGTTTACTTAAGGACAATAACCACCTCCATAGACTCCAGCGGAAGGTTTCCCCCTTTCATAGCCCTCCTCATGCGCAGGTGCAACTCTCAAGCCCAGAGCAGGAAGTGATGGTTTGCACATCTCTCTCCCTGTGTGCAGTAGCCCCAGTTCAGTTCGGCCCTGTGAGCAATGAAGGAGCAGAAGAACAGCCACTTGTATGTGGTTCAGCCCTCAGTCTGCCCTGCTGGAACAACTTCCTCATGTGTTACTGAATCCTCCACTTCTTCTGGAGAAGGGCAACAGACGAGTAGCCCTGGCTAAGCTTCCTAGTTGCAGCAGCCAGTGAAGGCTGTGTGGAGGAATGGCCCACATCCTGGAGCGGATGCGGATGGCGTATGACTCTTTGCGGTGCATTTGTCTCCCTGACTGGATCTTGACATGTGATCTAAGGCAGAAGGCAACAGTGTCTCTAAAAGAGGATGCTGCTCACTGCTGTGGGACACCATTGCACTGTTTCCTGCTCCTTTTCCCAAAGCCACTGAATAGGGACCTACAGGGTCGTTTTAATTTCCCATGATGCCCTGCAGTGATGCTGCATCAGAGCACACCGACTGCATGCCTAGTTTTAAATAAAAAACAGCGCCTTTGTCACTCCACCACGGAAGGCCTTGCCACCACTGTGCTGCTGCCGTGGAAGAGGAACAGAGCTGCAAAAGACTCCATGTGAGCCAACAGCCCCGCCAAAGAGCAAAAAAAGTCAGTGTAATTCAGTACGTGTTGATTTATCCCTAGCTGGGAACATTTCGTGCTCACAACGTAGGGACTTTTGGGTGTGATCCCTGAGCTCCCAAGGCCTGCCTTGTGCCCCTTCCAAGGCTTTGCCCTCAGCAGTGATACAACGGCGCTGCGATTGATATGAAATGGCTGGTGATCACTCTTTGGGTCTTTAGCAGCTCCTGATTGCCTGCAGCCATATTTTAATGCTGCAGACAGCACTGAAGTGCAAGCACTGGCATGGGGAGAAATAGTAGAACAGCTACACAGTCTAAAGATGGATGATGATGATGATGATGATGATGATGATGATGATGACTTTGTAGTGCCGCACATGACCCATGGTCTCCCGGTCACTCCAGAGAACTGGGGCAGCTTGGGCTTAATAGGGGCCATGTTTCCCAGCAGCAGTTGGAGCAGCTTATTTCTAGTTTGTTCTGGTCACAGTCCTGTAATATGGTGATAAAGTAATGCTGCTCACTTGATCATGTTTGCATCACAAAACCTGAAATATTATTATTGCTGAAATCACAGCTAGCAGGGACTTGCTGGAATTTCAGAAGTTAACACACATCACACTATCATTTATGTATTAGATTTATATCCTGCCTTTTTTCTTACAAAGAACTCAAAGTGGCTTACATCCTTCTCCTCCTCCTGCTCTCGAACTTATTCCCACAGCAACAACCCTGTGAAGGAGGTTGGGCTGGGAGTCTGTGATGGCCCAAAGGCACCCAGTTGGCTCCATGGCCAAGTGGGGACTAGACTACTTGAGCATCTGCTCAGAACAATTGATCCCGTGTCTTTTCCCTTCCAGTCTGCTTTCCATGTATGTGCTGTTTGTTTGATTAGATTGTGAGCCTTTGGGCAGGGCTGTGTACTCTGCAATTGTAATGGGCAAGCTGTCAACCAAGGGTGTTGAACCTCAAGGCCAAATCCATCCCTCCTGAGCTTCCACACTGGCTCTCGGTGCTCCCAGGCCGTTTTGCTCCCTTGCCCACAAGCGTTAATTCTTTGTTGGTTTCCTGGCTTCGCACAGCTTTATTCCCACGGATAAGCTGCAAGTGCCTGTCCAGAGGCTGACTTACTGGCAGTAAGAACATGCTGCTGTCTGTGACATCCTGGCCACGTGCTCTTTGCCTTTGGCTCTGCCCAGCTCCAGAATCTGGTGCCAGAGGGCTTCCCTGAAAGTGAAGGCAGCCCTCAGGCTGAAACGGGCTCAACACCCCTGGTAAAAGTAAATGGCCAGTATTCATGATGCTTATACCTGAAACCATTTTAGTTCATCTCATCCAATTCCCTGCCGTAAGGGGAAAATCGAACTCCCTGGCACTTCTCTGGAAGCAAGAGTAACTTTTCTTTTAATATTCTTTGGATATCAGGGCTTAAGCAAAAACTACTGGTGGAATTTTAACAGAATGCATAGGTAGGGGGTGTAAAGTCCTTACCTTTATTTCTAAAGAAAGAAAAAATGGCAAAATCTTATAGCTGGAGAAAGAAAATCTGAGTAACCTTTTCCAACCCAGTAGCAGACAGAAAGTTGTACAATATGCAGGTTTTCTGGTTGTGAACATTGAGCCAGAAAAGGGCTATCATATGAATGATACGAAATGAAGAGAAAATGTCCGGAGACACTTTCAACATCTAGAAATGTGCTGTGACATAAGCTTCCAAATTGCATGGCCAGGTTTGTATGTATGTTGTGATTTTGCATAAGTGCAGAATGTGACATGCGGAACAGAATCTGAACTTTTATTCAAGAAGAACAACAGAAAAAGCAAAGTGCCTGGGCTTTATGCCTACAAAGCCAAGCTAATGCCTGAATCAGATACAATTTCCAGTGGTTTGAATGTGAGACTTAAAATCCTTGGTATACTCCATAAGAAGTAATAGGAATAAAATGTGCAAAATCAAGCCAATATGCATATTTTTACAACTTGCAGCATTTCTTGGCACAGGATTTGTTTGACATGGGTACAGAAGTAATGCTTTTAAGGAAACATTTTATGTATCACCCTGGCTGTAGCTGATTTCATTGTCTATATAAAGTGGTCTTCCAGCTTTGTGGGGTCATACATGGAAAAGAAGGCCTACCTGAGCTTCCCATATAATCATTTTCTGAGCATCTTCAGCACTATCTATACATTTCTCACTTTCTGTTTTTTCCCCTTCAACAGAGCCCCAAACGGATGCTTGATGCCGAAGTGCAAACTGATCCGGTCTCTATCGTGTCTGTCGTGAAACCCAAGTAATGAATACTCTGAAGCAACTGAAGAATCATCCGAGACCTATAATTTAACCCCTTGCATTAAAAATATGACTCGTTTTGGTCCATCTCTCCTTTGCTTCCCCCTCCCCAACCCCCACACACACTGCTCTACATGGCTGCCAAATACAGGCTGCATGTAAGGCAAAGTTGGATGCCCATTTTGAAATTATATCGTATTTCATATTGTTAAAGCAAGTGAATTACTAAAGGGCACTAAGAAACATATTAATGGGCCATTAGAACTGAAGAAAGGCCTGAGATGGCTAGGTTAATGGGAAAGGAAGAGCCAAGAGCACTGGTCCAAGGGGTAGGGAAAGAAGATCAACTATTGGCACCAGAAACTCATCCCAGCATGAAGTCCCCAGCTCATCTTTGTCAAAAATCATCTACAGGTTCAGGCAGCGACCTTCTTCCCAGCCCTGCTATTAGGTAGAATGAGGCAGTCAGCTCAGGCGGCAGAAGCTGGGAGGTGGCAGGAAAGTTTTGGAGGAGAGAACTGTGCATCCGCACAGCTCATGCTGCTTTCCCTAAGCCAGCCTGAGCACTAAAGTAAGATTTAAGCAGCAGCCTCTGGATGTGAAAAGGAGGGGGAAGCATCTTGTCCATCACCTCTAGCAACAGAATGCCTTGGGTCAGCCCTGCCGCATTCTGCCCCTTCCTACCTCATCTCCCATTCCTGTACATCCTGCCTGAGCATAACAAAGATCGCTGGTGAGCAGTTCATGATGCACAAAGACTTTGGCTGGGGCTAAACCAGCCAGAATGGTCTATTTCAGGTCCAGTCTGGAAAAGAAGCAAAGGTCTGAGTTGTAATCCAAGCCAGAATAAGGCTATTCATCCAAATTGGCCAAATTCAATATAACCAGTATGTATATGCATAATGTGCATATACATTGGTGATTCATATAACTTTCAAAATACATTTTCCAAGTGTGTGCAGTTGAAAAGTGTGCAGTGAGCTAGTCCATTTGTTTTCTACTTGTTAACAATCCCTTCAATGTGCCATTTTAATCTGGATTAACTAATCTATAATATTGATGAGTAAGCAGCAGTGTTGCAAAAGTAGTCAGGAGGCATGCATGTTTTCCTTGTCATAGGTGTGGGGACAATACAGGTTGAATCAAGGGACAGTGTCTAGGAAAATGCAGTTTGCAACAGGACATCACAAGACTGTATGTGGAAAATTAAAATCTACCCACTCTTCTGCCTATGAACCTGTGGAAGGTGTCTTATTCTGTCTGAGTTAATTGGCCGAACTAGCTCAGTACTGTCCACTCTGACAGGAGGTAGCCCTCCAAGGCTTTGGGTTTTGTCAACCTGATACCTGGGATGCTTTAATTCACTATTATATCTGGCAGTTTCAAAATGCAAAGGTTAGTCTCTGTCACTGTGCCACAGGTTTTCTATATTGCCTCTGGCTAGTCTAAGGATTTATTTTTTCCATAACTGAGTTTTGTAGGTATATGATGCAATATGTGGGAAAGGCAGAGAACCATTTGGGAAAAGATAGTCATTTTACAGATATTTGTTACACAGAGTAGATGTAATAATTAATCATGGTTAGCGTTTGCTGCCTTAAATCTGGTGAAGATCCTTTGCAGTAAAAGGATCTTGTTGGCTTAGCTAAGCTCTGCAATCAGAGGATGGCCAAGCTTGGACACTCATTTGAGGCTTCATAAACCACAGTTTATGAAGACAGAATCTATGGCTGGACCAAGCACTCCTCTCCTTCCTTCCCAGTGCTAGTGCATTTCAAATTTGAACTGAGATTAAAATCTTTGGCTCGATGTCAGTTAACAAGCCAGGATAATTAGCCAGAAAGGAAACCCTGAGGCAGTGCACAAGATGGAGGAGCAGAAGGAACACTCATTCCTGGCTTCATCACTTGTGAAGCCTGGAACAATCATGCAAACTAGCCAATGTGTCCAGGGGAAATTGGTTGCCCCCTTGCAAGTGGGGAAACTACCTTAACCATGGTTTGTCCCATGCATGAAACGTTTAACAATGGCTAATGGAAACTATGGTTTGCAAACACCTTTAAGGCCACAGTTTCAGATCATGTGCTAAGCTAAAGCTTAAGGATAGTTTGATCCAATATGCCACTGGATACAATGCTTGTCTATGGTCAAGAAAAACAAGCCATGGTTGTTTGTACATGGGAAAAGAATGTGAACTCCCTAGCCCCCAAGAAGAGCAACTGGCTGCAATACTAACGAAAGTGCACTTACTCAAAAGTAAGCTCTCTTCAACATAGTGGGACTTGCTTCTGGGTAAATATGTCTGACAGTCCTATAAGAAGGTTCAAGTTAAACTTAATAATGGTTAGATGCATGTGGTAAGAGGGAGGGGGGCATTGGGTGGCAACATTATACAGAGGGGAAAGAATAAGCACATCCACAAAAATCATCTCTTGAAGAATTGTACATTTATGAGATTTTAAAGCCATTATTAATTGTTCACAGTTATAAGAGCATAGAATCATACATTTTAAAGGGTCTGCTTCAGATTGATTTCCAACATATTAATATTATTGAAAAGGCTGAAATGTACGGGTCTTCTAATTAATTTTCATGTATTTCTTTCTGGATGTAATAAAATGGAAGAAATTAACTTCTTAAAAGAAAGTAATTAAAGTATTAACAAGAATGCAACACCAGGGGGCAGACCTGGAGCCCTTCATATTACTAACTCCAAAGATGTATTTCAGTTTTCTGTAATTAATGGTTTCTATCATTAAGGAGAGAACCTTAAGTTTTAAATAATTTTTTTTAAGTTTATGCCTGTAATTAAGCCTAATTTCTCTTTAAAACACCCCCCAGATTATGACTGAACACTATTCTGCATACTTTATGATATGCAAGTCCTGTGATATGCAATTTTAATAGCATTTATAGAAAATTCAGATATATACATTATTGTAGAAGTTAAAAGACTAATGTTATAATTTAAACTAGCACCTGAATTCTAGATAGCTGTATATTTTGATTTCCTTCTGATTCAATAAACATTATTTAAGAAAATTCCTATACGGTTTTAGTCTTTTAATTGGAAATTGTCATTTATTGTTCTTTTTTATGTCTAGCATGGATTCATTAAAGGGCCCTATTATACAACAAATAAGCTTTATCCTGATGAAGAATCTGCATCTTGCAGTATACCTAAATCAGTTTTTTTACATCCCATGTTCAAACTGAATAGGTAGAAAACTCATTAGAAGGAAGAATGCACTGACCATGTGAGTCAGTTGGACCCCAATTTAGAATATAACCCATTTCAGTTCAGTTCAACTAAAAGACCACCCATTTTGGCTTAATATGGAAATGCAGTTCTTCATAACTTTCTCTATTTATCACGAGAGATAAAGATCTATAACTTTTATTAATTGTATCAAAATCAAATCAAACTTGCAGGTATAGTAGTCCAAAATGGTGTAATGATGTTCGCTAAATATCAGAAAAATTGCAGGTCTTTTTGTGTACCATACCTCTACATTTCTATATGAAGTTCGGCCATCATTTTCAATGAGGACCTTGACATCTAACAGGTTGTGAGTTGTCCACGGTGTGTCCGCAGGTGGCTGATAAGGCCAATACGGGCACGGAGTGTTCTGCCACATGCCGGGCAGACATGTGTGGACACCACTGTTGCAGCATTTGCAACTCTGGCTTTACGGAACGCTCGCTTCTCTTGTGCTATGGTTGTCCTTCTGGCTTCAGAAGTTTGGCAGCCTTGGTGGATCAGCGTGCGCCATGTCGATCAGTCTTGTGCCAGGGTCTCCCAGGAGGTGGTGTCAATAACCAGGGACTTGAGAGAGGCTTTCAGCGTGTCTTTGCATCACTTCTTTTGTCCCCCGTGCAATCGCTTTCCTTGAGACAACTCACCATAGAAGAGCTGTTTGGGGATGCGGTGGTCTGGCATCCTTGCAACATGGCCTGCCCAGCATGTCTGGGCTTTCATCAGCAGGGTGTGAACTGATGGCAGGCTTGCTCTGGAGAGGGCCTCTGTGTCTGGCACCTTGTCCTGCTACCGGATCCTCAAAGTCTGTGGAGGCAAGTCGTGTGGAAGTGGTTCAGTTGCCTAGCATGCCTCCTGTATACTGTCCAAGTCTCACTGGCACGGTAGTTAGCACTACTGCTCAGTAGACTTTAAGCTTTGTAGCAAGGCTTGTTCTACAGCGGTCCCACACTTTGGTCTGCAGTCTGCCGAATACAGAGCTTGCCTTGGCGATTCTGCAGTTGACCTCGATGTCAATTGTCACTGTGCGGGAAAGGGTGCTGCCAAGGTATGTAAATTGGTCCACCACTTGCAGCTTTTGTCCCTTCACTGTGATGGTGGGCTCTTGGTGTTGAGCTTTCGGAGCTGACTGATGCATCACTTTGGTTTTCTCTGTGTTGATGAGGAGGCCGAAGTTGTCATTTCTATATATAGAAGTTGTATATACATTTCTATATATATATAGAAAGTGGCTGGTTACTTCTTGACAGAATAGGATAAACTTTGCCAGGGTCCTTGCCCCTTCCATGGGAATCATGCCTGTCAAGTTTCTGATAAATAGACGTAGACATTTTTGTTCAAGGGCAACCATCACAGCAGGGGTGGAGAACTTCAGGGTTGGGCTTTTGAGACTATATTCCTCCCATCTGTCCCCATGCAACCTGGTGGGAGCCACAACATTCTCCCTGCCATTGGAAGAGGCTATTACCATGGAAGACTCAACAATTCTGCTGGGAAATAGGGCAAACAGGAGTATTTTCATGAATACAATAGGGTTGAAGGTGCTACAAGAGTCTTTGTTTCTGCTGCCACAGATTTTTCTTCTGGAAGAAGACTTTCTTGAGATTTTCAAAGCTAGTTCTCTCCCACCTTTGCAGTTCGTTGTGCGAAGTGCCCTAACAATTCAGAAACCCAAATCTTGTTTCACCAAGATTGCTGTCTTGCCTGTGGAACAGAGTTGGGTGGAGAGCCATATGCTGATGATACAGTTACATAATTAAGTGGTGTGTGTATGTTG